TCGTAATCGATCAGATGATCATCGTATTAAATATTCACATGGCGAACATATTGTGAAACCGATAAATAGTACGCAAGAAAGAGGTAAACTAAATTGTAATATTTGTATTTTCTCATGAAAACTTCGTTTTAGTTTCACCATTAGCACAATCTAATAGATCATCACGACAGCAAACAAGTTCTGATCGCAGCGAAAGAATAGTTTGCCGATTTGGTGCTGGATGTCACGACTCCAGCGATCGCCATCGAAAGAAGTATTCTCATCCTTGATGTTGATTATATCAGCATACCGGATGAATTCTGTCAAGCAATCAAGATAAATTTGTTCGAATTCACTTTTTGTTTTTGATCTTTGAAAACAAATGACAGTCTTTTTTTTGTATTTAATTATTTAAACTGGAAGTAGTTAGCCATCTTTGGTTTTGGATAGTGCAAGAGGAAAAAATGTTTTTCAAAATTCGATTCCCTAAAACTGTTTCTATTAGAGTAATTTTTGTTTTGACTTCTTTGTCGATCTACATCTAAGTTAATTTACTAGTTTTTTACCCTTCCGAAGTTACGTATATTTCTCTCAGAGTCTCGGTTTAGATTAGGCTGAAGGAAAAAAATGGCAACATAAGGATTTCAGGTAGCATATCATGTAACTGATGATGTTTAGTTTTTTTTTAATTTGAAAATAATTTAAGAACACCTGATCAATATTTTCTACTTTTCTTGTTTTTGCCATCGAATAGAATCGGATGAATTCAACACAGAAAAATAGCTTTTGATTTCACAGGAAAGAACTTTTCTTAATAAAAAAAAGCCTAATGTGATCATAAATGAAATGTTTCAGGAATCGGTGCATTCCTATTGACTAGTGAATATCCATTGATTCAACCTCTCATTTTATTAGTTTTGTTTATTCCAGTTTAATCGTAGTTGTTCAAGATCGAGACTCTAAGAAAAGGAACATATTCATAGGCTAAGACTTCTATTGATGAAAATAAATCCTAAATTTCTCACCTTAAAATTAATTAGAAAATCGACCGTACATACTATCAAAAAATTTCAAGCAATAAAAGGAACACCGAACTATTTAATTACTGATTATTTTAGTTTCTCTCGAGAATTCTCTTTCTAATATCAAATACTGTAAATGACTAAATACTTCCAGTCTCAAGATATGAAGAAAAAAAAACAAGAAATATCCATTTCTGCTTGATTTTCTCATTCCTAATAAATTTCTATTCATTCAATACGTTTCTCTTCTTTTATTTCATCTTTTTACTTCGCATCGACAGCGAACCCTTCGAATAGTATTTAATTATTTCTAAGTGTATTCTGTTGCGTAGAAAACTGATCGCAAAAAATAAACTCCTCTTCAACACAATATCTCTGCAATAATGGAAGCAATTTTGCAATGATTATAACCAACTGTAAAAACTGATGACGATTGCAAATGATAGTAAATACAAGTCAGTTATGTGTTAACTTTTAGACCTAGTCCCGATGCGATAGTAGCATAAGTATGATAAACATAAAGGGAACAATAAAATCCTATATGTATCCATCGCTGCAGTAGTTGTAGTTCAGCAAATTGAGTATTATCCCTAACTGTCATCACCGGAAGACATAAGAGTACGTTAAAATGATGATCTGCATAAAAAACTCTATGTATAATTCTCACACTTACTATTTTACTAATCAAGAAGCAAAACGTTGCCAATTAATATCTGTCTCAAAATAAAAGAAACCTTATGAGTATCTAAATAACTTTTTATAGGAAAATGATAGGCATCTAGACTTTTTACCCTTGGAAAAATGTGTATCGGGGTATGAAGTCTACCATTACTAATCGAGATTTCTAGAAAAAAGCTTTTTCAAAATTTTCATGATACTTATTAATCGGAGGATGCCACCTGATAAATCTCAATAAGTAACAACAAAATTGTAGAAGCATTATGTTTCTTACGCATCGCAATAGAACTCATAGTGATTAAGAATGACTGAGTCCGTGAGAATTTTCTTTTAATTCAATCGATAAAAACGTTTTTGTCTCGCTTGCTATTATGATTTCTACCATAATTTTCTCGCTTATCGCAGTAGAATACACATCATATATAAATAGTAAAGGGATAACATCAAGAACTTTTCAATTTTAGATTTAAAAAGATGTCTTTATTGACTAAAAGCGAATGTCACATATGTGAGGGTGAACTAACAGCTACAGATGATGTGATACTCACAGAGTGTCATCATACATTTCATCGAAGTTGTGCTCAAAAGCGTCTTGACACACGCAACAAGTCGGATTGTCCTATATGCCATCAACAGTCAGCCATTACCAATGCACTTTCTCGCGATACTGCGACAACAATTACACAATCTACAGAAGATGTTGATGATCTATCTGAAAATGTAAGTTGCTTCTATCTATATATATAATGTTCAGTGTCTGTGTGTGTGTGTGTCTGTGCCGGGCCAAAGGTCAAAGGTTAAAGGTTAAAGGTAAACGATTAAGAGTCAAAATAGAGGCCTACTATGTTTCTAGAAAGTTCTAGAAATATGTAGACTGTTTCAGAATGTTCCACAACTATCTACAGTTTTATATAATCCATTTTAATGATATGGCACTTAGTAGAATGTTCCAGAAATTTCTAGAGTTTTTAGCGATGGGTGGGTGTGGGCCCGCAGAACAAAACAGTCCAAACCCAGACCCCCACCCAAACCAACATCCGCACCCACACCCCTTTAAATTATACCTCGTTGTTACAGATTGAAGAAGAAAGCGATCCTGTGCGGCAAATGGATTCTGAAAAATCCATTGATACAAATGAAAATTGTTGGAAATGTGATGAATGTTCAGTAAGTAATGCAGAATCAATAAAACGATGTCAAAATTGTGGAAAATTAAAATATGACATCTCTTCAACATTTGACGAAGAAGTGACAAATGAAGAATCACCGTCATCAAGTAAGAATCAGAAAAAAAACAAATTCTTATCAAAGGATCGATTTAATAATACTAGTGACATATAAATATGAGAAATAATATCTTTCCGATGATAAGTATACAAAAAGGTCAAGAAAACTTAACGAAGATGATAACTAGTAGTCGCCGGATTTCACATAAAAGATTTAACCGTTTTAATTATGAAGATAAATTATGTATCGCATTCGTTTTGAAAATAACATGTACAAAAAAATAACTGAACAATTGTTGATGTTAACAGCAGAAGAAATGGATTTCTAACTTCGGTGATCCACATCAGAATCTTCGGAATTGTCTTCTCTTCTTAGATCATCATCATAAACACTATAGTAAATAGATTTACCCAAAGATACGAAAATACAGTAAGAAATATTCATTACACTTTACTGTCTTAGATGTATTCATGTAATATTCTTCTCATCTTACTGCGAGTAATCTCTTCAAAACTGAATAGTTTCGTGCCAATGAATTTTTTCAAACATTTTCTTTTCGACTATTTTAAATAGAGCTATCTGTTTTAGTTTCTTCGAAATCAAACACATCAACTTATGAAACGGAAAATAAAACCACAAAACAAAATATGAAATCAATCGTAGAATCCGATGAACAAAAATCTCTGGATACAAAATTCTCATACGAAGGAGCGAAACCATCAGCACAATCGGGTGTTATTGTTTATATTATTGATCTTCCATCAAATATTAATGATAATATTCGTCTAGCAAATCTAATTCAAAGTCGTATGGAAAACTCTCTTCAAATCACACCAATTATCGTTAAATGCTATTCAAAATTAAGTGCTGGTTTCATCTATGTTCGCGATAATCAGATCAAAAATCGATTAATTGATGAGATTAAACAGCTAGCATTAGATCCAGTAGAAGGTACATCATTAATTTCATTTCGTGATAAAATTGAACTTATTTCATATATTGTGATTGATAAAACAAACGAAAGAAAAAATGTAATTTTACCGAAACCGGATGAAATTCTTAAGCGATGGATTCAAATAAATCATGGTGAAAGAACTTCCTCTTGTGATCAAGTTAATATGCAATTCCCTAACATTTATCGTATTATTTCAACTTCGTTCGATGATTCAGTCGCTGTGATGTCTAATCCAGATTTCCTAATTAATAAACTACTTGCTCATGTTTATGTTGGTGCACAGTGTCGTTATTTTGAAGATTTACCCAAATCAATAACCAAAGAACAATTAGAGATGGCTATTTGTGATTTACTTGGAATTAAAATTTTGCCATCTTTCTCACTTCATATTGAACTGAATAAACAGACAAGTAATGCTTGCATAATAGCTGCCGATATAGCTAGAGAATGTACAGCAAGAAATGTTCTTTATCTTGATGGTAAATCGATATCGATCAAAGAAAATTTAGCTTTTCGTCTATTTCTTCATCCATTAAATGAAGATCATGATAATAATGATATTTTAAATCATAAAATCTTTGGTGGACAGGCAAAAATTATTGGGCAACGTCGACGCCAACTCATTCTTGAAATATCAAATAAGAAAGTTTATGATGAGTGTTTGACATTTGGTGTACTTCGTATTGGCACTAACTCAAGATTAATAATAGAAAACTATATTCCATTAAATGATCCTGAAGAACTTGAAATCGATGCTGATGTTTGGTATGATAGTGAAATGATGCATTATAAACCGGATATTATGCAATTTATTGCTGATCTTGATCATCCAATATTTCGTTACAAATGGAATGCAGATGCATGGCTTCAAAAATTTCAAAACGCAAAATCCTCAATTTTTGCCAACGATGCTCATTCAGATCTATCATCTGATCAAATTCGTCATTTACTTCAAATGACTGTGATGTTGAATACTATTGGAGTTATACGAAAAAAAACTTACCTAATTAATAATCAACAAATCAAATTGAATTTAGATTCAAAACTAAAAACTATCGTCTACAATCATGATTCATTATTGGAACTTAGTCAATCAATCGAATCATCAAATACTCCTTACACAGAAACCAAAGTCAAAGTAATCAATGCGGATTGTGTTTTTGTCTATGAAGAATGCTCTAAGAAATACAAGAAACCACTACTTTTAAATATGGCAAGTGCAACAAGTCCCGGTGGTGGATATAGAAAAGGTGATGGAGCGCAAGAAGAAAATCTTTTTCGACGATCAGATTATTTTCGAAGTCTTGATACTGATCTTGATTCTATTCAAGATGAAATACCGGGACGATTTTATTGTTCCAATGATGGTAAAATTCGTTCTCTTGTCGATCTTACAACTATGTATCCAATCGATGAATATGGAGCGATTTATACATCTGGTTTAACTTTCTTTCGAAACTCCGAAGATAAAGGTTATGAATACATGGACAAACCTCTAGAAGGTGTCCATGCATTGGCCGTGGCTGCATATCGAAATCCAAAATTAGACGGAAACCTGTTATCACCCAAATATGCTGTTGGAATGAGAAAAAAAATCGAAAATCTTCTTTCTATTGCTCATTATCATAAACATGATTGTTTAATTTTATCAGCACTGGGTTGCGGTGCGTTTCGAAATCCACCTGATCACATCGCCAAATTGTTTCGTTCAGTTATTGAACAGTATGCTGGTTTCTTTCAAACGATTATCTTTGCAATTATTGATGATCATAATAGTGGACAACAACATAATCCTGATGGAAATTTCAAATCATTCAAAGATGAACTTGATGAACTTCGTTTAGAACCATTGACACCATTAACTCAACCTAATACTAATTTTGGTCCGTATCGAGTTTCACCTGACGGTTTAACTATATCTGATGTTAGTATCTTTGATTTACAACCATGTCAATTGGGTGCAAAATGTAATGAAATTCAAGATTCAAAACATTCTCGACTCTACTCTCATCCATCGCTATGTAAAGAACGATCTTTAAAAGGTACATGTACAAAACTAAACGATAGTATTCATATGTCTTCATTTATTCATCTAAATCCATGTAAAAACGGTGCTCAATGTAAAGATATCGATAATACAAAACATAATCAAGAATATGAACATCCATCTTTTTGTCCAAATAGAAATATTTGTTCAGATACAAGCGATGAGCATGAAAACGCTTATCGACATTTACCTTTATGCAAATCTTTCCTGAAATGTTTGGACTATCAAAAACATGTTGCAAGTCATTGTGAAAATTTTCGTCATTGTAATCCGTCGTGTCAAGATGGAAAGTATTGTGCAAATTTTCATGTTAAACAACACATCGAAAATTATAAACATCCATTTCCAAATCCGTGTCCATTTACGCCATATCATTGTTCATGGTATGAACAATTCATATCAGCAAGCAATAACGACGTTATTTCAGGTGAAATCGAGCAGCATTGTCTTGATTTTGCGCATGTATGTGTATTGGGAAGAAATTGTGCTAACAATGATTCTCTACATTGGGAAAAGTCCATTCATGTTCGCCGTCCTATTTGTTCATTAGGTAATGAATGTACCAAACTTATTCAAGAAGATCATTTGAGTTCATTTACACACCCGAATGTTTGTGATATTCGTTTTCTATGTAAAGATGCCGATAAGTGTCATGACCGTCACGATGCAACACATATGGCTAAATTTCGACATATAATTACATTGGAAGATAGTGGTATCGTGCGGTATTATAATTTAAATCAAAATATTGATTTTGTTCAAAATCAAAAACATAACGTAGAACGTGTTAGACGTTATGTAGAAAATGAAAAATGGGAACCATTACCATCTGGATCAATTCCGCAAAACATTATCGATTGGATACGAACTGTTCAGCCTGTTCATCGATGTCGACCAGAAATATTCGAATCAATTCTTCTTCATGGGCATGTTATGAGTCGAGATTATATGGACAATTTAAAAAAGTCCCCATGCATTATCGATTCCATCCTTCAACATAACGAATTACGAAGAATTAAATATTTCAAAGAGAAAAAATGTGCAAAAGACATCAAAGAATATGTAACTGCTTTAGTTATAGAAGAATTGGAAGGAAACAATTCTGAAAATACCAAATCAGATGAACATTCAAGAGATAATGTACTAATATCTCCTGATGGACTTGCTTCGAAATCTCGTAAAGAATTGATTAGAAACAAAGAAGTTATTCTATCGAATATACTTTCTGAAGATGAAATTACAACAATTAAAACAAAAGCAATTGAAATAGCTCAAGCTTCGATAAAACTTCATTCGAATCCTGCTGGCATCAACCATCCTCCTGACAAAGAACTAGGAACAAATCGAAATGTTTTTAGTATCCTGGGACCACATTTGGGTCAATATGGAGATGTATTTATTGTTTTCAAACGAGAAATTCTCCATCATCCCGACTCAAATTTTACTGTACAAGCAGCAACATCCTATGCTAGCGGAAGAGCTTTCAAATGGCGTCCATGGTTAGGTACTGATCCAGGCTCACAAGATGCTCGTGTTAAATTGTTTCACAGTACTAAATTACATGCATCCATACCAGACTATGAGTATGCAACTGCTCTTGAATTGATTGCTACGACTAGTCAAACATTAAAGAAGAAGTCAATGAATATTGATTTACCAACAATTCTTAAGCGCTGGTTAACTGTCGATTCTCATATGACTATAGAAGCTCATTTACCTCAACTAATACCGCTTGATTATATCGATCACATTTATATGTCAAAGAATATTTTCGATACATTCAATAATAAGACTTGTGAGACTATCAAAACTATTTTTGATAATCGTATTTCTATTCAATCAATTGAATCACGAAAAGAACATGAAAATTTTGTTATGAAAGAATTAATTGATAAATTTGGCCAACGTGATATTCATTCAATTTCAAGGCCTATTCAAGGTGCAGTCATAACAATACCAGCAACTGACTTTAATGATCATTTCGTTTTACCTTTAACTATTTCACAAACATATGAACAGTATAAAATCGATCATCCACAAATACCAACTGATGGTACTGTTTATATCTACTGGCAAATAATGAATGGCGATATGATGTTAACATTAACGAATGAGGAAATTAACACAGGAGAGAAACAACCAAATCTACGTTGTTTAACATGTTATATAGCCGAAAAACCTTCACGAAAAATTAATTCTTACCACGAGCATGCTTCGTATTTACATAGTGGTCTACTTTTTCAACATGAAATTGTTGTACAAGAAGAAGGCTTTTCGGCTAGTTCTACATCATTCTTTATTGGTTGTAATACGGATGATTTTATGACATTTCGTCTTGAAATTCAACGTTCAACAGGAACCGTTACTCTATCACATTCAGGTTCAAATTCAATTTATAATCATGAGCAAATCTGTGCGACGTTTTCAAAATCTGATTTTGATCTAAATCAATTAAATTTCATTCATGTTAGTGCTGGAGCGCGTACAGTACCTATTCGAAATTTATTTGTCACTTTCGAAAAACAATCTGAACCATTCGACAGTATTGGTAGTAATGTCCAAACTAATTTATCTGATCTTCCTCGTGACGTTCTTGACGATAATGTGACCAAAAAACTTGATCAGAGTCAAGGTAAACATTTTTTATTCAGTTGTTGAGAAAATATTTATCAATTTTCACTCTCAAAAACGTTTTAGAAGAAATATCTAATAGTTTCAAGTAGTGCAATAAGACAGCAGTTAGAAGAGTTTAACAATGCAGCTTTTTTTCCTCTCCTAGAAATTTCTTATCACATCGTGCTTGAAATAAGAGCCGAACCGCTTTCGTTGCCTTGAAACACCTCATTCTATACGTATTTATGTTCAAATTTGCTTCTGATGACTTTACACCAACTTTCCATGAACAATTTTAGTTAAAAATAGTTTTTTTTCTTAGTTTGATGCCTGGAAAAAATATTTGAGATGAATCCAATGTATTAGATAGGTCAGCCTATCAGTTATTTCTCTTTGTATATCTCTGCAATTTCTACGGAAAGTCATTGGGTCTCGATGATGCTGAGTTTTCACTTTTATTCGTTGATTACCTGCTCCTGAGTTCGTTCTATATTTCTTATCCCGATTTGCAAGTCACAATGTCCGATTATCAAAATTTATTTGTATTTTTTACTAAATTCTAGCAGTTCCTAAACCAGGTCGGTCTCCTGTTATAACATCATCAAATAGATTTATTCAACGTCCAATAATTAAATGGTCATTAGTATTTTTGTTTAGTCTAATAATATTAAGCACAAGTTTTTATGTATTACAAAAACGATTCGATGTCACAGATAAATTGCATTCTAGCTTAAATACTGCTATGAATCATTTTAACACAAAAATGGAAGATTTTTCTTCGAAATTAATCAATTTTCAGCCATATTCAATATCTTTATCGAATATTCTTATACTTTTAATTCGATTTAATTGGATCGGATTTTTCATTATTATAAATGAATTATTATTATATCATGGATATTTTGTAAATTATACAGGAACATATCGATTGTTTAAAGAAAAATTTCAAGATTGGTACGCGACTAGTCGTTTAAAATACGGAATTTTCATTTTATTACTTTTAATCGGTCCATTTTTATTGGAAATCTTTATATTTTATTCTTCAACATTGCTTAAACCGTTTTTAATAATTATGCAAACGTTTCTACGCTATTTTTGGTTAATTTCACTGATTACTCTTTGTGAATCATTCGGAGATTATGAATATTCTTCAAGTTATGTTCGAAAATATCAAAAAATTAAACGAATTATACAAGATTGGTGTATCAAGCACAGAATTCAACGTACAATTCTTTTTCTAATAATACTTGCAATACCATTTCTATTAGATCGAACTATATTATATTCTCTAATTATTTTAAACAAAATTGTTCATCCTCTATGGACATCATTTGTATTTATCGTTCGATATAATTGGCTTATTTTAATCTTTATACTTGATGGAATTTTAACTAAGCAAACATATTTTACAAATTTATCTGGAAAATATCGAGATAGACGAAACAATATTGACAATAAGCTTTCGCATATTTTTAATGAAAAATATACACGTGTAAGACAAATATTAGGTAATTGGTATAAAAATGATAATTTAGAAAGTCGAATAACTATAACTACAATATTAATTCTTCCACTTATCATAGAAGTTATATTTCTATATACTATACCAATCACAAGGACATTTTTATTTTTTTCATGGAAATTATTAATTTTCCTAATACATTATCTTTGGTTAAGCATTATCATTATGATAAATGAATTTATATTTCTTGAAAATAATTATTTTCCAAAATATATTCAATTATATAAATCTATAAAAGAAAATATAAGTGATTGGTGCGATGATAAAAGATTTCGACGTGTAGTTATTTTAGTTTCTATAGTTGTTGGTCCATTTATATTAGAAATGTGTTTTATTTGGTTTATACCAATGACAAGATTGTTATTTTTTCTCCTATGGAATTTATGTCTATTGTTAATTACTTATTGTTGGCTGGTATTGATTGTAATTATTAGTAAAATATTAGAAGAAAATGACGCGTTTCCAAAGTATGTAGAAAAATTTAAATCAATTATGGATCTACTTGAGAGATGGGCCGGGAGTAGTAACATTAAATTTGGTATAGTGGCTATCGTAATCCTAGCTGCGCCAGCTTTTTTCGAACACGTTACAATTCGATCGATGTCGCTTAGAGAAATATTTATCTTTCTTTTAACAACGCTAATTCTATTCATTATTCGGTATTGTTGGTTGACATTAATAATAATTATTAGTGCAATTTTTGAAAACAATGAAATATTTCCTAAATATGTAAAAAAATTTATATCAATTATAGACACCCTCAATAGATGGACCAGGAACAGTAAATTTAAAGGTGGAATACTCTGGGTTTCGCTCGTATCTGGTCCATTTGTATTAGAAATGAGTATTGTTTGGTTTTTACCAATGATGAAATTACTTTTTTTTCTCTTATGGAAATTATTTATAATTTTAATTCGGTATTGTTGGCTTCTACTATTGGTAATTGGTAGTGAAATTTTAGAAGAAGCTGGAATGTTTCCAAAATTTGTTGCAAAATACAAAGAGTTAAAACAACAAGTCGAGCGTTGGAGTAAAGATGATAAATTAAAAATTGGAATAGTGATATTTACAGTGTTATCCGGTCCATTTCTATTAGAGATGTTTCTATTTTATGGTATAAAGGCAATAGTAGCTGGAATTATTTTCGTTGTGAAAAAAACATTCTTTTACTTGGCAAGCATATTTGGTTTTTATTGTTTATCGCGTCTGATTCATCGTTGATTAGATAAATGAAAAAATTGATATCAAAGTTATTTCGAATTAGAATTGATGCTAATTACTCAAAAAAAAACAATAAATTCACTGTAGTTTCATTTAAAAAATTATCTTTCAAATCAGATTTTAATCAATCTATCAAAGACACTTCCTGTAGCATGTCAATCATTGTTTTTAGACTTCTCATGTTAAATAACCATGCTTTTCTTAATCAGGGTTGCCACCTCTTCCGCTTTTTGCGGAAAGTTTCCGCTTTTTCGTATAAAACGTGTTGCATATCAAACCTACGTACACAATAATATTTGATATTATTGAATCAATTCTTATTGTTCACAANCCACAATATACCCCTCCGCCTCCCCCCCCCCCCGCTTTTTCTGTTTTTCTTTCCGCTATTTTCCGCTTTTTAAGATCAGTTTTCCGCTTTTTGGGCTTCATCAGGTGGCAACCCTGTTCTTAATATAAATAAACTTCAAAAAAATACTATTATATAAACATTTCCGCTAAGCACTATACATTTCCACTCATGTTTTACAGTTATCAGTAGTATATCTAAACAGTCTAACTAAACCATGTAGGAACCATTTGAAAATATTACTGTTACGGTGAAGTTGAAACTAACGGATACACAGAACCCATCATCTTGAAATAATGACTCGGTTAATATAGATTGGGAAAATCTGAACCTTAGGAGTACAACTCCTTGATTGACTAGAAAGAAGTTTTCTGTTGCACGAGTATATCAAAATTTTGAAGGTCAGATTTTAGAAAACTTAGTTTTTCTTTATATTTTATGTAGAGTGTTCTTATTAGGAGCACTATTCCTAATAAGAACAAATTCATTTAATTGCAAAGTATTGCGAATTACTTGACTAGTTTTCGAGATAAATAGCTGGTTTTTTGCACCATTCGATGCAGCAAATATTTTTATTAATTACTGGTGCGCATCTTATTCGGGAAAATCTAAATGAAATATTTTTTATTTTTCATACAAATCTTTATAATTAGGCGTATCTCTGGAATAAATCGAAATAAAAAGCACTTGAATTAACTTTTTAAAACTAATCATTATCATTGAATATGCCATTCATCTAAATCTAGGTAGAAAGAAAGTAATACTTGTCGTTAACGATCGAATTATATATTTGTCTCGGCTTGTTATTCAGTTGAATAACATAAAATTTCGTCTCATTTGAAAAATGAAGCTGATTATAGTCTTCTATTGGCATTAACTTAGATGAAGAATATGCGTTTATTGTATGGGTCAATTAAAAATATAGGTAAATCAAATATTGCGTCTCGTAAAAAAGTTTATATTCAATTTTTATGAAAAGGCACTAAATGTATTGCTAATAATGAAAGTTATTGAAGATGAGACTCCACTTCTACACTAATATAAAAACAAGAATTCGTTTAAAGGTTTGAACTCCATTGAGAAAATGAATTCAAAAATTAGGTGTAAAATGCGTTTTTTATATTGATATTTCTATGTTAAGGCACGTTACATCTTTTTTAAAGCGATATAACACGTAAAATCCATGCTGTGAACAAGTTTTAACATGTTTAGAATGTTGAACGGATCAACGCATTTTAAAGAAATTGTTGAAATGACATTTTAACGTAACATAAATGCATTTTACTGCGTTTTTCAAATGTTTAGTGTCTGATTGTGTAGGACTGTATCGATTTACGATCGTTCGGGAAACTGCTCTTTCGTGGATAGTATGGGCCATTCCGTCAAATTGCAGTGTTTACATGTACTTGTTCATTTTTGAACGGATCCCACTAATCACCATGCGAGTTTCAGATAGATCGGGATGAGGGGGCAGTGAATCCTGAACGATTCGCATCCCTTTTTCGTAATATTCAAGTGCTTTCGAGTATTCGCCCATATTATAATAAATTTTAGGGTGTGGGTGTGGCTATGTGATGTTCCACTAGCAACACACAAACACACACACTACCCTAACCCATCGTGTTTTACATGTTAACCCAACACGGATCATGGCTAAAGGTTTTTTAACTTTAATTTATTCAAAAAAAAAAGGATTAATGTAATTGTCGGTACCCTCTCTGGTTTATGGGGGAAAAGTCAATATTTTGCTGCTATCTATTTCCACCAACTTTTAGTTGCTCCACCGTTGTTTCTTTCATTCCAAGCGTAGTCTCGTTGGCCAAGTAAAAATAGTTCTTGAGCTCTTGCTTCCAATGCACTATCAGCTGGAGCAAAACGAGCTCGTACGTCCATGCCTCTATTTGCAGCCTGGTTCATTTGCGTCGTGATATTATCCGATGTACAGCGAGCATGTTCATCTAAGCGTCGACCAATATCATTTGACATACCAGTGTATCGGATCTTGGGTCTGCCAATACCATTTGTTGTCATCAACTGATACATACCTAAGAAAAGCAAGTGTAAAACTAATTAAATAAGTGATAGGTACTTCTACACACCAGGGCCGCTCGGTGCACTGGTTTGATCGTAATATTGTGAACGGCCATGAGTTAATGTTTGTGAGGTTCCAAATGATGGTGTCTCAAATGAACCGAATCTTTTATCTTTAGAGCCATCTACATTTAATACTTGAGGCATTGAGTAGCGTTGATCAGGTTCACCATCTTTTCTTGTCACCCATCCTACATCTCGAAGCGTTCGTGACATTGTTCTTTATGATGGTTTTTTCACTGTGATGAGGTGGTTTGTTTTAGTTTTCTGTTTCTGCATGCCTTTTTAATACGCTGTTTCTTTTAGGCGACTATTAATCGTGGGTTTTTTCCCAACCACAGACAAAAAAGAATGTTGACATATTCTTTTTCGCGTAACAGCCGTGCTTTGTAATTTTTCGACGGAAAATAAATGTTGCAATAACATGCCCTATTTAATCAGAACAAGCAGAAATTAAAGAATTCTTGGGAAATTTTATCGTTTGCTTCTTCTTTAAATATGAATCAGCTTCGAGAACAAGAACATGAGACTGTGGAGAATCCCGGCAAGATGCTCCCCAGAAAGATACTTCCCGGACAGTTGCTCCCCAGAGGCATTTGCTCCCCGGACACTTGCTCCCTAACTGTATTTAACAAAAATTTTAATCAGCACGAGATTAAGATATAAATTTATTTATTTGAGGGTATGGGTGTATCGGTATGAGTGTATCAGTGCAAGTATGGACAAATGGTTATCGCCTTCACTTACCCACACCCATATTCGCATTCACACACCCACACCCACACCACCCTTTAACAACAAATCTCAAATCATTTGTTCTTCGTTAAAAGTGATATTGAATACGTCTAACATTTTCAGCTGATTGAAGATTTCGTTCAATTTATTCTGTGACATATTCATCATTGTACTGGAGAGGTACGTAACGTACTACAAGAGCGAATGCATCGGGAATAAATTTTAGTTTTATCGTAGTGATGTTGATATTATTGATTTGTGACGGTCATTTATCCGCATATATGAATGCTGGATATGATTCTTTGTTATTTATCCCTAATTTTAATTTAATACTTGAATGACCGACGAGCAAGAAAGGGATTGAGATTTCTTGTTATTTGAAGTAATCTTCAAGAATACTTGCTGCTGATATATCGAATGAACGGTTCTTCGAGTTCACATCTTGATCATATTCAATTAAAAAACACAGAATGTTGCTTGAAACAGCTCGTTTCAGGTGCTCAAATGGGAAACGACCTTGTTGATGTTCTGATATTTGTGGTTGGTGTTACTCTAGCACAGGATTAGTATTCAATGAAAGTAACGCCCTTGGAGCTCTTGATACATTGATTTGACCATATTCTTTTTGTTTTCTGTTCGATAGAACGCGTTGTTGTTTTGATATGTCTGCATCATTGCTATCAGTTGCATCAAGATTTCATTTAGGTGTTTGTGGTGTTGAAGCTTTGATTGGAGTATTGAGTTGTTGCAGATGTGGAGCTTCGGTAAGATGATGATGAATACCTAGTGCTATATTAGGATTTTGCCGGATGTATGCGATCATTTCTTCCAAGTTTTAGGCAGCTGTTATGTTAATATGTTTCTCATTCGTTCGATTGTTCCATTGTGTTGATAGCTGAAGTATTTAGTTGCAGAATTGAGGATTGATTTTTTTTTATTAGAGTGGTAGTTACCGTTGATTGCTCTCCTTATTCTAGCACAAAGAGGAGGACTACGTTAAAAAAAAGGAATATAAGCAAGCGCTTGTGCGTCTGTTCTCTCTCGAGAGAGAAAAGGATGAAGTGACTCATAAATCACTCGTTGAATACTGCAGCCATATATTTGACGCTAACGAAGAAAACGCTGTTCGAAACGACAATTCATCATTTACTTCTATGAAACATTTTTGTGGCATGTACCATTTTTTCTTCGTCGACTGTCTTGCTTCTGTTTTCAGCGATCTTGGGAATTGTTCTCGTTTCTCTTTTATCGATACGATGTTATAAATGTTTTTGTTTTCTTCAAACATCAGTAATCGCTACGTTGTATTGCATCAAACTACTCCTTGATTTTGATAGTGAAGATCAAGAGATTGTGTAGCAAAAACTCAACTTAATTTCTATATAATATGTACGCATTTGAAAACTGATTTTGCAAGTAATCAATGTCTACTAGAGCAGGACCTTTTTTTTTATCGTTCTTTACATTTTATTGCCGCATGATATGAACAACAACATAATAACGATGTAGATGAGAGAAAAATAAAGATCAAATATAGATGTATATATATTTTCTAAAAGTTGTCAACAAAATACAAACAAAATAAACTAAACTGTATCTAAACACAAATAATATTGAATTGGTTCGTTCTAATTCAACTGAAGAGTTTTTTCTTTGATGCGGCTATTAAGCGAGTTCACCAATTGGTACACTACTCATCCAGAGTTTATGTAAGAACAAATGAAGACTATCGCTAACTGAGACTTTGTACGGTGTTGGATTAAGATTTCGTCGATGATCTTTACGCAAGGTTTCTATTTGTTGCTGAGCAAAAGAACGAACTTCATGCCACGCTGGGAGTGCATGTTGAATTTGACCATTGGCCCAATACAATTTATACATACATTGTACTGACGTTGGTGTAACATAGGCACGTTTCGTTGCAAAAAACGGATGTCGACAAAGTACTCTTTCACCAGCGATCGGCGCGGGTTCGTCAGTTTTAGTCATTAGATCACATAAAGCTTTACCATTAGTATCATAGAGCCGATAGAGATCTTTTCGGCCAGGTATCGTTACTTTTTCGATATCTTGACTTACTTTGATTCGTGGTATTCCATTCAACTATAGGAACAATAATAAATATTTTTTACTCCAATGAAAACACTTACTTCAACTAATTTATAGACACAACCAAGTGCGGGTTGTCTCTGGCATGTAACTAAATGTGTTCCAATACCGAATATATCAACTGCATGTCCTTGCTTTTCTAATGAATGTAATGTATCCTCGTTAATATCATTACTTGCTACAATAGTCAAATGTTCAATAAAAGGTAAATTGAATTTTTGAGCCACTTCAATAAACTTTGCACGTACTTCCAATGATAGATAGGATATGTCACCGGAGTCCAAACGAAGGCCTACCGCTTCATACTGGCATTCATGCAATGCCAGAACAACAGCCAGAAAATTTGGTACACCAGACTTGAGAACATCGTAAGTGTCTACTAAAGCCAAAAATCCCGAAGGAAATGCGGTAGCATAGGCAATAAATGCAGCCAATTCACCTTTGTGAGTTTGGTCGGGAAGGACTTTTAGTATTGGACCAAGTTCATCGAGATATTTCAAACACAATTGTACGAATGGACGTGATTCACCGGTAATTCGATCGGTCAATTCTTTATTTTTCAACTCCTCAAGATTTTGATATGAATTAATATAAGCATGAGCATGTGTTCCTAATGACCGAAGCCAAGAATCAGCAAATTCTTGTTGCAAAAAAATATTTACCTCGAATCGGAATTCCATACAGTTTACCAGCTAATACGTTTGATGTACCATCGAATCCGCCTAGGTAGCAATATTTTGAGGCGCTGAGACCTCCATCTGGGCCTTGTGCACGTCGAAGACCCAATTCGTAAAATTTCTTACTAGGATCAACCGCTGCGCGAAATCGAGCAGCATTCGTTGCGACCAGACTAGCATAGTTGATTAATGTTAAAAGAGTCGTTTCGAGTAATTGTGCTTTTAGAATAGGCCCTTCGATACGAAGCAATGGCACACGAGGAAAGCTCACAGAACCTAAAGAAAAAAAAACTAAAACAACACATGCAAATGAATGCACACGTCACACCTTCAGGTATTGCATAAATTTTGATATCATTCATGTTGATGTTCAATAGAAAGTCAAAAAATTCCTTCTCAATATAGTCGGGCATCACTGTCTGAAGATAGTCGATATCGGATTTTTGAAATTTGTAATTTTCAATGAATTTCAAACAGTCTTCAAGACCAGCAAATAATGCGTATTCACCACCAAATGCTACAAAATAAAATTATACACATTTGACAATCGAATTGTTTCACTTACGATTTTTACGAAAAAACAGATCGAATGTAGATTCATCTTGATGTTTGCCACTCTTCCAATAAGCATAGGCCATCGAAATTTGATAGAGATCAGTGAGCATTGGCTGAACAGCATTTGGTTGTTGCGTCGTTGCCATGTTTGTTCAGTTTTTCGTATCTCTAAAATTAAGATCCATACAATGTATAGCAAATTCTTTATCTCTTTATTATATTCTGGTGTAAAGAAAAATATATTCAACGATTAATAGAAAATGTTACTTTTTGGTTTAAATTTCACTGCAACTATTTAATCGTGCGAGACGGATTATGTTTTTTCATGACAAGTTATCTATCTTATCAATCTGCTCTTTTGCTCCTCCTGTAGAATAGACCAAAAATCAGAAATAATATGTTTCTTACTGAAGAATTATCTTTCAAAATGAATCGACTGTTATACTAGAGTCAATGCACTCATAAAAAATTTTATTACTCTCTAGGATAGTTTTAATTGAATCTAATGAACACAGGATGGAAAGAGAAAAAAAATGTTTTTGCTATTTTGCTTCCTCTAGTTCAATTCGATCAAAATAGTGTAATTTGATGTTGGCAGATAGAGAATTCTATGTTTTCTATAATCATTTACGCGGCGGTATTTTCATAACATAAATATATTTTATTGTGTATATTGACAACACTCACAAGTGACCACCTAATTTGTGAATTCATCACAATATTCACATACTACATGATCAAGCAGCGCAAATCAAATGTATAATGGATAATAACTGGCTATGTTTATTCAATACTTTTGCTGAGATCACTGTCTACTATTTATTTGATTCAACGAGAATGCTTAGGTATATAAATAAAATCTAACTGGAATTCTCTATCGTCCTATAATAAAGAGACGATGCGGATCAAATCTAACTTGAAAAAAACAGACTGATAAAAAAAATACGAAATTGCTTCTGTTCCATCCGTTATGATAGAATGAATCAACACGAGCATCAGAAAAGAAAAGCATCAGAACGGAAAAGAAATGAGTCAGTATGAGTGGAGAATCGTTAGAGAATAGAAGAAAAAGTAGACGTCGCGTAAAGTGGAGCAACATCAACCAGAAATGGCTACCAGATCTGGAAAAAAGAGGTCGGTAGACAAGCTAATCAACAGAGAGAAAAGATAAAAGCAAAAAACAAGAGCAAATTCACAAGAGAGAGAGAGATGCACACACGACGTTTAAGCAATAGAGATGACATCGGATAATCAAGTCCTGGCCTCGGATTGCGAGTTTTTGAAAAAGTAGGAATTTGCACAGGATCAAACTTTTTAAAAATACAGGAAAAGGCATAAAAAATGAGAAAAAAATAGGACGCTGAAGATTCGTTGTTTAGATTCAAATTGAACGTTGTTTTAAATTTTTTCTGTATCAAATTAACATGCGCACTAAATTTTTGTTAAGATTTCATTCTTACTTCTTTCTTAAATTAAATGAAATTAGTCAGACATAATTAAATTCAGTCAAAATATATTTCTTTACATATTAATACATGAACACCAAATAGACCAGGGTGTGGGTATTGGTTCAAAAAGTATCAATGACAGATCACTAAATGCAGAATTTCAATCTCTACAAATGGCCTATTTCATTTTTGACTTTCGTAGCTAATGACAATGCAGATTCTTATACGCTTTCTAATTCACTGTGCCGCTTATGAGCTTCCATACAGATGTGTCGATTTCATTTTGTGTATAAAGATTAGTTATAAAGAAAAGAACTAACAATAATCAAAATCAAATAATTATGATGATGCTAATTGCGTCAAAATTGGTGGCGAAAAAACTGTACCTCAGCGTTACTAAAAAGGTCACGTCTTTTTATCTAAGTAAAAATAGCTTAGAGAAAACGTTTTTAGAATTTGAAAACCTGGTCAAAGCGCTACAAAACTAGCTCTAGAAATGTTTCATTTGGAGAAGTAGTTGCAGAAGAAATTACAGTTTATTAGTGACCCTGAACATCAGACAACCAAAACTTCTCTATATAAACTCTAGAATTTATCCAAAAATGTTATCTTATGACATAAGCATACCACGACAAGTTGCATCAAATGATGTTTGAACGAACTTGATAATTCTCAATTTCCGAAACAACCAAGAACAAAGTGTGTCAAAAATATCACAGCGTTACACTCGAACAAGACCATTCACGTAAATCCATGTGATCGGCAGCAATAAAAGCTTTTAAAAAACACAAGCATTTATAAAGAGTATTTTACTTTGTTTGAATATTTTTACTTAAAATAGTCAGTTATTTTCATTTAGTCCGTTTGATAGTCTGAAAACGAATTGCATTTTAAATATAGTCCCTATGAAAAATTCAAAGAATGTAAAAGAATCAATAATTATCGAATTGATCTGTTTAAAAAGCATCGAAATTATACTAAAACAAAAGCATTTTTTAGCAATTTCTACTTTTTTACATTTTGTTTATAGGAAATACAGGAAAACTCATCGAAATATAGGAGAAAAAATAGGAAATATAGGACGAACCCGAGGCCATAATAAAGTATAACGAGTTAAGATGAATTTGTTCGTAACATTGCGAAAGCACTCATTGCTAGAAGCCATATGTTTCAACACTGAATAAGATTAATTGTTTAAAGGAACGAAAAATTAGTGTCCTTCATAGAGTTTTTCCAATACAAATGCACAAACGAAATCACAACTATTCAGATGTAGCTGAATTTTGAGTGAAAGAAAGATATTCTTTGAAGATAATTGAAATTCAACAATTTTTACTTTTGGCTGCAACATTTTTCAATAGAATTAAGTTTGTGAGATTAAAAAGCTGGATAGAAATATAACTTAGATTGACTTGATTTTTAGTCATTATCACATAGCTAATACGATAGAGCAAACATTTCTTCAATCGATTGAAAAATTTAAATAATATCGATAATAAGTATCTGATATTGAATGGAGCTTATTGACGCCGTACCGATAGTTTTTTTTTCTATTTATTATGGTAGAGGTTGAAAGAGCAAGCAACATGACTTCTAACGTTCTTTTTCCATTTTCGAGAAACACGTGGTATGAAGAATAAAAAAAAATAGTGATAGCAAAAAAGTATTCATCGATTCATTGCATTGAAAATAGCAACTATGTACTGTTACTTTATTTCATTACATACGCAGCACTAAGGCAATGCTCTTGATAGGACTAGAGAAGATTGTCTCTTATCAAAACTCATAGCCTGCCTGCAGTAAAAAAAACTGATAGTTGAAAAATAATATTTTTATCTTTGAGTTTCAAACTCAAACATATACACGCACACGCTCTACCTGTTTCAAATAGAGTCCTCGAAAAGTAAGTTATTCATTACGAATGTCTTGGATTTTATTCATATGGTTGATATTTAGAGGTCATGCACGTAGCAATATTTTGCTTGGTTCTTCTTTTCGTTGCGACACACGGTCTTCCAACACCGTACAAGTCACAAAACAGCTGTGGTTATGACGTAAGAAAGCATTGCTTTATTTAAAAAGAAAAGTATTCAAAATGAACGCTTGTTTATGTTTTAGTCATGCAATTTGGGTAAACCTGATAAACTCAATGTTCATATCGTAGCTCATACACACGATGATGTTGGTTGGTTGAAAACAGTCGATCAGTATTATTATGGATGTAAGTAATAATTCAATTCACATGTTAGTAATGGCCGTGTTAATAAATTGATCATTTAGCACGTAGTGAAATTGTTAACCGTGGCGTTCAATATATTCTCGATTCAGTGGTGTCGGCATTATTAGACAATCCCGATCGTCGATATATCTATGTTGAAATGGCATTTTTCTGGCGTTGGTGGAATGAACAATCGAACGACACGCGTAATGCCGTTAAACAACTTGTCAACGAAGGTGTGTAGATAGTCGTTCTTTGGATTTTTATTCTAATCATTGATGTAAATCTATCTAGGTCGCCTGGAATTTATCTCGGGTGGTTGGTCAATGAATGATGAGGCAGCAACACACTACAATTCGATTATTGATCAACATGCGTTAGGTGCCGAATTTTTACATGATACATTTGGCGACTGTGCTCGACCGAAAATTGGCTGGCAAATCGATCCATTTGGTCATTCGCGAGAAATGGCTTCACTTATGGCACAGGTTGCGTATACTTGATGGGTTCATGTTCGATGTAGATTTCGTTTTCTCTTAGATGGGCTTCGATGGTCTATTTTTCGGACGTATTGACTATCAAGATCGAATACCTCGAACTATAGAAAAGAACTTAGAAATGATGTGGAAAGGAAGTGCCAACTTAGGTTAGTGTTTATTTGAGTATATTCATACGATTAGATTATTTTTTAGGCCGTCAAAGTTGGCTCTTCACAGGCGTTTTACCACATTCATATAGTGGGCCGAATACATTTTGTTTTGACATACATTGTAATGATCAACCGATTATGGTATGCCACTATTTATCGATAGTCGAGATACGTATGAATGAATTAAATGATTCTAGGATGATAAACGCTTACACGATTATAATGTTCCGGAACGTGTTCAATCATTTATTAATGCAGCGCATCTTGAGGTTTATTTTAAATAATGGAAATTTTATTCTTATCTTTTTTTTCTAGGCTCATGGTTATGCAACGAATCATATCATCATAACGATGGGTGATGATTTTCAGGATCAGAATGCTCATGAGAAATTCAAAAATTTAGACAAATTGATTCATTATGTTAACTTAGCGGTATGTATGCCATTTTAAATATTCCTAATTGATATCATTTGCCATCCTATCATCAGCAAGAGAATGGTAGCAATGTCAATGTCTTTTATTCTACGCCTTCGTGTTATTTATATGCTTTGAATAAAGCTGAACGAGTATGGACATCGAAAAGTGATGATTTTTTCCCATATGCTAGCGTTCCGTTTGCGTACTGGACCGGCTATTATACTTCCCGGCCTGCGTTAAAACGTTATGAACGTTATGCAAATAATATTCTTCAAGTTACCCGTCAGCTAAATGGATTTTCCCAGAAGAATTTGCGAAATAACATTTTTTATTTGAGTAAGATATAAAAAAAATATATATTCGCTTGATGGATCAATCAGTAATTCTATAATACAGGTGAAGCAATGGGCCTTGCTCAACATCATGATGCAGTTAGTGGAACAGAGAAACAACATGTAGCAAATGATTATGCTCAGCGATTGTCTGATGGTATCGATCAAGCAGTGGTATGTCTTATGATACATAATTGATAAGAAAAACTATGATTATTATTTAGGAAGTGATCAACGATGCTTATGCACAACTATTGCCTCGAGAAGGTCAAACAGTACCAGTGGCCCGCCAATTTCTTTGTCCTTACTCGAATATTAGTGAATGTCTGCCAATTGAAGGTGCAAATCAAGTACGTACAATTCTTATGTATAATCTCATCTTTCTGAATTTTTCTTTTAGTTCACAGTGACACTATGGAATCCAACTATTCATCCAGTAACAATTCATCCTCATGTACCTGTCACTCGTGAATATATAATTCGTGATCCACAAGGAAATCTTATTTCAGCTGAAGTAATGATTCATGGCCGGAACACAATTAGTTATATTTGTTTTCATTTTACAGTATCTTCCGATTTCGGAAACGATGAAAAATATTCCTGGTCGAACAAGTTCAGCTCAGTATCAATACCTATTTCAAGCATCGTTACCAGCACTTGGTTACAATACGTATTATTTCGAAGTGAAAGGTGTTTTCATCTATAAAGTTTTGCTTACGTACGAGAAAAGTTAATTTTGATTTAATTTTAATAGCTGATGGGATCAAGACCGAGCACAACAAAGTGAAAATAGTACAAAATCAAGCATGCACTCTACAGAATGAAGTAAGACGTAAGATTTGGATCATACTTATAATAAATTTTCCATTATTTCTAGCATTTGCGAGCGGAATTTGATAGTCTTGGAGATTTAAGAAGTATCACTAATTTCGATAAGCAAGTAGTAGTATCGGTCCTTAATCAGGGTTTCTACTGGTATGAAAGTAAGTATTATTTTATGGAATGACTTCGATTGAATTAACAATTTGATAGCGAGTGTTTTTACTTAAGATTTTCTTATGCATTTTGTTTAAGGCCACCCCGGTGATCGTACAACTCCAGAATTATCTCCATCAGGTGCTTATATCTTCCGACCGTTGATTCCTGAGGCAGTACCCGTGAGTCTTTTACGTACAATGTAAGTGATTCTTCTCAAATAAATTATCATGACGATAGTCATATCGACACAAACAATTGTAGAAATTGCACGCAAACAGATACCGTACAAAAAGCAACGATTGTTTTCAATGAATGGATTAGTCAAGAGATCAGCCTCTATCGTGGAGCATCGGCCATTGAAGTCGAATGGACAGTTGGACCGATCCCCATTGAAGATAATAAAGGCAAAGAAATTATTATTCGTTATAATACTAATATTGATAGTGGATCGAAATATTATACTGATGCTAATGGACGTGAAGTTCTTGAACGTATTCGTAATCATCGACCAACATGGCCTTATTTCGTTGATGAACCAATTAGTGGTAATTATTATCCAATTAACAGTCGTATTTGGATTCGAGATAATGATCGTCAACTGACTATTCTTACCGGTAAGATAGATTTTTTTTTCTGTTTTTCAATCATTATCGGAAATAATTCTTCTGTTTTCAATATTCTATAGATCGATCCGAAGGTGGTGGAAGTATGTACGATGGTTCGGTTGAAATTATGGTTCATCGTCGCGTACTTCACGATGATTCGTTGGGTGTTAATGAAGTTTTGAATGAGACTGCTTATGGTAAAGGTCTTGTTGTGACCGGCAAACATATTCTTATTGTCGATAGACCAGAAGATAGCGCTCGACTACATCGAAGTGGTGCTCAGCAAATGTTCATGCACCCTCTAGCTACCTATTCCATACCGAACACATCATCGTATGCGAACTATTCAAATGTTTATCGTCAAAGTTGGTCAGCTTTGTCAGATGTGATGCCACTGAATGTACATCTATTGACATTCGATCAATTAGCTCTCAAACAGTATCTTGTACGAGTTGAACATTATTTTGAATTGAACGAAGATGAAACCTATTCACAACCGGTGACAATAGATTTACAGGCTTTATTTAAAAGCATCGGTACCATTAATGAAATGACTGAATTAATACTGACTGCCAATTTACCATTGTCCGAGCTCAATCGACTCGACTGGATGACAAAAGAAGGAGAATCTTCACATGTCGATATGTTTCGTAAGTTATATTTAATGGAAAAGCGCCTTGAATATTATCTAAACTTAATTTTAGAACAACAATCATTGAAAGAAACAACAATCACTCTTAATCCAATGCAAATTCGAACATTTCAAATTACGATCGACTAGTCATTAGCTCTTTATTTCGTGGATAAACTGATTTAGTTGATGTATTTCAATAAATCGAAATAGAGCCGTATTTTCTTTAGAAATAATATCAGGAGCAGGATTTAGGCACTTTTCTCAAGAGTTCCATCATAAATATAGAATTGTTCTAGATTGCAATCAATTTATACCCAGTTCATTCATTCCGACCTTGAAACACGCGTATCCATACTCACAATCCAAGCCGTATGCTTTGTTCGATGGCAACCATACAAATGGTACCACTCGATAAAGAATAAAAATTTGCGCCTAAAGACAACCGATCAGAAACCGAACACAGGTCTGGAAGTGAATTAGGTGCGAAAATACTTTTTTTGTCTGCTGATTACAAAAGGAAAAGTGAGTACTTCTCGAGACTGAAAATACTCGAATATCGTACTAGCTTTACTTATGTGTTTTTTCCTGTTTAAACTCATTGCTAGCGTGCTTATCATCTGCAGTGTTTTACTTTTGTTAAGTGTGCAGTTGAGACCTAATCAAATAAACTAGAAACAAGTAAGATAAGAAAAGTAAAATGTTGGTATTTTCAAAAAGCAGCATACGAGTTACTCGATAAAATAACAAACAGTATCCTAATATATAAAACTTGTTAAAGCCAACAACAAACGCCTCATTAAAGATTCTACGACTACTGTTGGTTGAAACAATTTGACGGTGGTGAGTAATTTATCAAGATTATCGATACAGTTTATCTAATATTTGATTATAAGGAATATCTTACGCTTTTGTTAGATTTTCATCTTTCTTTATGGCATGGTGTTGTGTGTAATTTACAGCATTACTTAGCTATTTTTTGCATACGTGAATCTTTTTCTACAAACGCTATGATCATTTTGAGACGCCTTGAAGAGATCAATCGATTTTTCTTAGCTACATCTAGGAACATGAATAATCGCCAATTCATCGAAATTCTGTGACACCGGGTTGAACATGTATTCCATGAGAATAACTTCACTATTTAACAGTGATATCGATTGCCGATCTTTTTCGAATACGGCAGGGAGATCTATCGTATCATTTAAGTAATAAACCATTTTCAAAAAGAATTTTCTGACATGTAAATGAAAATCTAAACGCATGCCTTGCCGAAAAAGTTGATGTCTTTCCTCCGATGAACTGCTCTTATAATTTGATGTGTTCAAAAATAAGCAGATCAATGTTGGAAGCAAATACTGGTAATTAATGTAAGAAGATTTAATTCATTAGTCAATGTCTGATAAAATAAGTTTTGAAAGATTTCGATCGTAAGCGTTTCTATAATCAGCGATATTGTTTTCATCTGTATATGTTCTTTAGTATTTTTCTTTGAAAGATTTTTCACTACCTAGTGGAATGTAATCAGTAGCATAATTAAAGTAATTATCAATCTGATGGGCAGCCACATGAATTCATCGCACATTCAGTACTTATTTCTTTTGTTTTCTTCTATTGTAGGTTAACATATGTTGGTTACAAACTACTCGTAAATTTCCTTAATTGAAAAATTTGTCAAAGAAAACACAATTTTAGTTGCTCATATAATTACTTAACATTGAAGGATTTTTATTCTCTATTATCTATTGTATTGCAATCGTCAAACTCTTCGCGAAGTTCTTTGATTTTTCTATTCCCATGCTTGCCAATAACATTCAAATTGCATGATTATTACAACAAACTGTTCAAATATAAAATAGTTTCACCTGAATTCTAGCTAGTTTTTTATTCGGACAATTAATCCTCAGTTTATTATAAATCAATTCATTTTGAGAGCGTAGGCGTTGTGTAAATGTCTGTGAGTTATCTCTTCATTAACACCGACACTCTCACATTTTGATGCTTTTATTTGAATCATCTACGTACGATTTTAGTTGATGAAAACAGCTTCGATAGTCGGTGTCATCGAAGTTATTAATTCGATACGACATTTCTATATATTAAAATGAAGATTCAAATGGAATAATCGTGTTTTTTTCGTATAGATTTACTTTATGCGACAAGTGCCATTTAAACTCTTGTCTGCGTCCTGTCAGCGACCACTCAGCAGAGATCTGCTGAGCGGTACATGTGAAAGATCCTCTTGACGCGACGTATTTTCTGGAGAAAATCGATTTCGACTGATAAGAATTCTACAAAAAGTTACGTAATGGGGAAAAAATGATCGCTTTTTAGTCTATCAAGTATTTAAGAATTTCTCGAAAATAGCTGAACTGATGACTGCCGAAGTCTCTGCACAACGTCGCCAATGAATGTTACCGTGACCGTCGCATCGATCTAGAGGTTTCTGATGGATGTGTCCTATAATGATACGGGATAGTGTTACGATTCACTTTGCAATGGTGTAAGAAGATGATCATGAAATTCAAAATTATTATACAGTCATAGCTCTTATCGCAGCAGATTAAGAAGAGTTAGGGAAATATGAGTGAAACCATCAATTTCTACATCTTAAAACACAATTTGAAGTTGTTCTTCAAAAAACAATACGACCAATTTACGCATCGAGTGAGCACTAGTTTACTATCCTAATGCATCTATATATTAAGGTAACTCTTGTGATACGATTTTTGTTTGTAGGAGATGATAGGCACTGCTATGTTAGATAAAGAAAAGCTTGCATACATTTCGATAAAATATTGCTATCGTAGAAATTTCTAAAAATGCCTTTTTTTCATCCTTACACACCTTTTTTAAAAAATACTGTGATTTTTATTCTATACAAGGTGTCATTTTAATAGTATGATTCTTAACACAAACTCAAGCCTATTATCACTAATAGAGTATATCAGATCTGACCAGTTTGCATTTCCTTATTTCCTTATTGTGCCAAATAAGAATTCTATTAGATTTCTTTCTAGTTATTAGTTAAAGATAAAAGAGATACGTGGAAATGTCTATGATTCTAACCTATGAATCTCTGTCCGTTATCTTGTCAGAATTTGTTTTTTTTAAACTGCGTAGTTGAACTAAGTAAAATATTCTATTCATCATTTGGATGATCTTACTCTTTTGCTGACAAGATTGCGTCATCAATTTAATCAATTTGCGATTTTGAATAATAATCTCTATGTTCTTTTCCATTTGATCATATTTTATTCTTTTCAGATGGCATCAAACAATTCCGATGAATATACCGATAGAGCGAGCATTGGTGAAAGCCTGCTCTGTGAACTCTGCCACAATCCTTTTATTGGTCCAGTTGTGACTCAATGTGGCTATACTTATTGTGGTGCATGTATTGAACCTAAAATTAGAAGTGGTTCACATTGTCCGTCACGGTCGTGTAATCAATTATTGACCACTGCTCATTTGATAATAAACCATCCTACTATCTCAATCACCGATAACCTTAAAATACGCTGCCGGTTTTGCGGGGAACCCAATCTAAACAGACGAACTTTTTATAAACATGTCAAGGAGAGTTGTCCTGAACGTCGAATGGATTGCTTAGGGAAGGATGTTGGATGTCCGTGGTCCGGGCCGAAGAATGAACATAGCGAACACATCCAAATGTGTTTATTCGAAAAACTAAGACCGATGGTTGATGGATTATATAAGGTTATTAAAAAGCAAACTTTAGATATAGAAGACCTCCAAAATCAAATAGTACAACAAAAGGTTCAGGTACAAGAGCAAATTGCTCAACTGGAACAGACAATGAAACCTGAGAAGGTTCAACTAGAGCACGCACTGAAACAACAAAAGATTCAATTCGAAGAGACAATAAAACTACAAAAAATTCAACTGGAAAATGCTCAATCAGAAATTCAGAACCAAAAAAATGAAATAGCATCTATTCCAATGCTTGAAGAAGATATCAACAAACTGAGAAGAGCAATACATGGGTTCAGTAAGTAGATCTATTTATCTCTACAAAATCTAGTGAAAATGTGTAACTGTGAGTGTTTAGGTCCGAGCCACGAGAAGGTAAATGTTGACATTTATACCCTACCTATATAATAAATTTGATTTAAGATGAATTATAGTTTCATAAATTTAGAAGAATAAATTATTTCAAAAGAGTTTTTTGGTATAGATTTTTTCAAAAACTGATGAAATAATCGAACGCGAAACATATGCTGATTATACTTTTTCAAAATAGCTTGTATTGTTTCAGAAAAAAATACTAAAAGAAATTTGATAGAAAAAGGCCTTAGTTTTTCTAGTTCATCTGATACGAAAGTAATCCAAGAGATTATGCATGAATATTGCTTATTCATAATTTGTGTAGGCAAGTTTGAGTAGAAGACTTTTTCACAGCTATATGACAGTGAACATGTCAAAATATTCCATTTGACGAATTCTAGTGCTTCTAAATGAATTATTACTTCATTTTATAAATAATCATTCGACAATAACACTGAAGTTATTTTCAAAAATATCAATAGAAACGAAAGAAACAATACCTTGTTTATTATTTTCTTTTTCCAAGATCAGTATAGAATAGCGTTTTGTTTTGGAATGATTACAAATGAAAATGTTTTGTGCTTCTTCTTCTATCAATCAAATATACCAGAATAATATGACAAGTATCCAAGAGGATCTATAATTTATTTTACAATGTTCTATGGATTATTTGCTTGAGTTTTTATTACATTGAAACATGAGAAACTCGGTTGATAAGGTTATAAGATTAATCAATTGAGTTTTAAATGTTATTTAACATACAACTATAGTTTAATTATATCTTATATTCTTGAGCAGTAATCAAAGAGTTCATCTTTTCAAGTGTTCTCTCACTATAGTGAGAGAACAATTATATATGCGGGATATGTTTGCCTCGAAGTACGGTTCATATCAATTTCTCTAAATCATATTATTTTTTCCCTTTGTTATGGACATACTCAGTTAAGAAATCGAACCTGTGAACACATGCTGATCTTTTTGCAAAACGTAATAACGGTATTTATTCTCGTTAAGAGTTCAATAGGATTAGAAATGTTTTTTCGGTGACCGTTCAATTCGTCGCATTTAAGGGAAAGAGTACATTAATTGAATTAAGTGATCTTGTTTACTTTGTTTTTTAAACATACATGTGTATGTTACAGTAGAAATTAAAATTATATTAAGAAAATTTTAAAGTTTTTATTTAAGAGAATTTGAGATATTCCTGTTAGAAAGATTAAAATTTTTAATTTAAAAATTCAATTTTTCCTATGACAGTTTTAAATCTTAATTTCTATAGTAACATAAACTTTTTTAAAAAAATGATCAGATCTCTTCAGGGATACTAGATTATCTTTCTACAAATACGTGCTTCATTTCCCTAAAAATTATTTAAAATTTCTTCCATCAAAATGTCAATAGTCTGCTATTTACAGTCTTGTGTTAAAATCTTGAGGTAAGAAACTCAAGAAATGAAGCCAAATTTACTCTTTTTTTTATCTGTATGCTTTGCTTAGTACTTTATGGAATAATTCTCCGTGAGTTTCAAAACTTTCGAAATGAGTTTGTTGAGTTTCCAATGTGGCGAGCTTTAAAAGAATAGTTGAATTAAATCTTATAACTTGATATGTTTCGCATATAACTTTTTCAGGAGATCCATTAAAGTTTAAAAGGATCTATTTTGTCGAAAAATAAGTTTTATAAAATCTCAAACTAAAAACCTAATTTTTGAAATGTAAAATCAGGAGGAAATTACATCTTAATTTAAAAAGCTTAATTGAATTTTGAGTTAAAATTTATTTTTAGCTAATATAAATTTAAAATAAATAGTAGAAGGAATCTGATTATTGTAAGTGAAAACATTTTTTGAGATCATTAATTGAAAAACAAACTACATATGTCAACAAAATTGCTTATTCCAATTAATGTACTCTGTCCTCTATATCCAACGAACTGATTGCGACAAATTGTACTAGTGCCGCATCAACATATATTTATCACTGTGTCTTCATAGCCCTCCAACTATTGCAACGGATTGTACCTTAGTAAAGATAATAATGTTACATCTCTAATCAAACAATCTTCATCGGGAATTTTCAATTTCATACAACTCTTCGCTTATCTTCTGTTCCAATCTTATATAATTCTTCGCGTCTGCGAAAAATCTTTCTCATGATGCTTACCATTGAGAATTCATTCAAATTCTCTAATCTTTCCTTCTAAATAAGCTGTTACAGATTCATTCTCATGATTTTTCTACTCGTCTCTAGAACGATTATTAGGAAGAATCTTCCAGTATATAAAGGCGTTTCTACACCGTATCAAGATCTTTCTTTAATTTCCGAATTGATAATTTTCGTTAAATTTTCATGAATTTCGAAAAAAAATCAATACAGAACCTTTGTCTTACTTTCGAAATTATACGATTTTTGTTACTAATGAACTTCACATGCCACCGGATTACCTTAGAGTACTCGAGAGTGCTTTTCACACTTTACATGTTGTCTTTCTAATACTACCTCTTATGAGAGATTTCCTTTGTTTTTTAAGTTTTTTTCTAGTTAATATTTCTGTCAATGCCACATGGGTGCAGAAAGGAGTGACTGTTGCTGGAGGCAAAGGGCAAGGCAATACCACTAATAAACTCTACTCCCCTCGAGGACTCTTCGTTGATGATGATCAAACAGTAGTCATTGCTGACATGTGGAATCATCGTATCATTCAATGGAAGAAAGATGGTACAACGAATGGACAAATTGTTGCTGGTGGAAAAGGCCAAGGAAATGGATTGAATCAATTGAATAGTCCAACTGATGTCTTAATTGACAAAGAGACAGATAGTCTCATTATTTGTGATTCAGAGAATCGAAGAGTTGTACGATGGTCTCGTCGTAATGGCACAACACAAGGAGAAATCCTCATCGACAACATCGCTTGTTGGGGATTGGCTTTGGATGATCAGAAATATCTCTACGTCTCTGAGACCGGAAAACATGAAGTAAGACGATATCAATTGGGTGAGAAGAATGGCACTCTCGTGGCTGGTGGAAATGGTCAAGGTAATGGTACCAATCAACTCAGTTCGCCGTCACATCTCTTTGTTGATGGACAACAAAATATCTACGTTTCAGACTGGAATAATCATCGTGTGATGAAATGGACAAAAGATACAAAAGAAGGCATTGTGATTGCTGGAGGACAAGGCAACGGGGATGCTCCGACACAATTGTGGTATCCAAATGGACTCTTCGTCGATACATTGGGTACACTCTATGTAGCAGACACGTGGAATAATCGTGTAATGCGCTGGACTCAAGGAGCGAAACTAGGCACTTTAATTGTGGGTGGAAATAGACAAGGAGCAGGAGCAAATCAGTTAAATTACCCCATTGGCTTGTCTTTCGATCGACATGGTAGTCTCTATGTCGGCGACTATAATAATCATCGTGTTCAACGATTTTCTCTCGAATAAGACTTGTGAATTGTTTTCTCTTTGTCCAATATAAGATTACAGCATGTTTCTTGTTTTCCTCTGTTACCCATGAAATATACAGTAAGTGATGAATGACCTTTTCGTGAGATTTCGATGGTAACAATTGCATACTAATATTGCTGCTGATGATGATGAGTCGCCAGATAAGCATCATCTTTGTAGTCTTATTCGATTATATTTTTTTTTAAATAACTTTTTTCTCAAAAAGAACTAAATAGTTCAATGATGATCAGATAAGTTCAAAGAAACTACATAAAGATGTATATTCTAAGCATGAATATATCTCTTCACTTTTGGTTTCAATATTGGTTTTGCAAAAGCTGAATCTAAATAAGAACAGTTAGTTAATAAAAAAAGAGTGAGCTTGCAATTCTGAAATATGTTTGTAAAGAAATGATATCGAAATTATCGTGATACTTTTGATTCAAATTTTCTACAAATGAAAAGTTATGTGCCCCAGGTCGATCGTTCCGGTCATCGGATACTGCAGGAAGCCGCACGACGAACGCCGGAAAATTACTGTGTCCTGCAGGAAACACCGTAAATCACCAGAACATGGGAGTAGTATTCCGGTCGGAAAATTTTCGCTCTTTTTCCCGATGATTTTCGGTCGGTTTCTGCCGGACAGAACAGGAATTGGTTGGAATCTACCGGAATAAAGTTCGAAAATTTTCCGGTCGGAATAACTTCCATGATCCGGCAATTTATGGTATTTTCCTCCGAGAACCGACCCTTACTTCTCGACCTGAGATGATAGTCAATATAGATTAGATTATTGTGTTTTTGAATAAACTTTTTTGAATCAATATTCCTGTTCGTATTTAATCAATTATAGAAATTTGCACTTTAGGGTACTCGGGTTTTGCGATATAAAAAGTAGACATTAAATTGATTTAATTATTCTGGTTGCCGGACGATCATAACAGAATCATGAATATAAAAAATAGAGATAGTTTCGCATAAAACTTTAATTTGAAGAATATGCTTTACTGTCAGAATGAGCTGTTTTTACCTGCATTACTCTTTTGTATTTACTTTTTCAAATCTTAAACAAAATATCTTATGTGGAATAAACGTATTTTAATGAAATTGAAAAATTTATTCTAGATAACATCTTTTCTTCCTTTGTAATCAGAATATTTATGGATGACTAAAATAGGCTTTGGCATCTAGAGAAAATTTTCGAGTACTGCGTACACTGTAAAAAAAATCCGTAGAATACTAAACCCAAAAAGGGTTGATGAAAGTGCAACGTATAATAAACCCTCTTTCCATTTTTGAAAATTTTCATAAACCCTAAAGGGTATTTTCCACATAATCATCAACCCTTAAGGGTTTAGTATTCTACGAATTTTTTTTACAGTGTAAATGTCGACTAACGATGGCGGAATCGTTCATTCGTGAATTTTCCTTAATATTATGAAAGTTATATATTGAATATCTCCGTTTGATGGTCAACTACCTCGATAAAAAGTAAAAAATGATCATCAAAATATCGTCGACTTATGAGTTAATGAAAATTATTTTGAACTAGAAAATTTCTTCTTTAAAAAAAATAAAAGAACAGCGTTACAATTGATTATTGTTGATGGACGAAAAAAAACGTCAAAGAGTAAATGATAATATAGAATGTGTGGTTTTGATCACTAACTAAATAGACATAGTCTTCGTAAAAGTCAATTTCAACATAGGATTCTAATACCGTTAGAGATCGAAATCAATCTGAACATTGTGAATAATGCACTAAAAACTTTTCATATAAATAAATATGGAATATTATTGTAAGATTTTTCGATGTAGTTGGTTTTAGTAGTTGCAGCCAGAGACCGAAATCGAATCGAATTGCCGAATAAATCGATTCCGAATGGAACTTCAAAACTACCGAATCGAATCGAATGAATAAAAAAAAATTGAAAAAAAGCCGAATCGAGTCGAGTGAATAAAAAAATAATTGAAAAAAAGCCGAATCGAATCGAATGATACTTCTAGAAAAGAGGTCGAATCGAATCGATTCGTTTTTTTTCAGTTTCATTCGGCTATTGAAAATCATTTTCTTTGTTCTGGTGTTATGGTCGAGGGCAGTTGACTAGTATAAGAGATGACGCATGAAAAAGGACGTCCACTGTTTCTCTTTCTTTGTTTCTGTCAGTCGTGCTTATTTAATGGTCATCCCTGTTCTCTTCATATCGTTATCATGGTCAAGTGCATTTTGATTGGCATAAGAAATGCTCACTTACAACGAGCGTTCCATCTTTCTTTTCTTTTTTCGTTAGTCAACTTAGGCCCCAATCACGCTGAGAAGTAAATTAACATTATAGTTTAATTTAATTAAGCCATGTGACTGGTGCATTAAGAGTTAAGTAATACTTTAGAGGTGATCTTAGCTCTTAATGTATCAATTAGATTACTGAATAAGACTTTAACTTAATTCACATTTCCAGTGCGATTGGGGTCTTGATACCAACCTCTTCATTTATTAAGTATGGCTATGGTCAACTGTAAATATAGATCCATATACAGTAAATGATATTATTTTTCTTCGTTCTATAGAAAATAAACTTATTTAATTAGTCTACTTAGATGTGTTCATTAATTTATATTTTATGTGTTCTTTCTTGAAAAAAATGAATAATTATTATGTATATCTTCATAAATTATATTTATTCAACATATTTCTATGGAAGATCGACAGACTGTTCTCATTCTAAGATGACACTCTGAAAACAACAATACTATGTAATAGTGAATACCATATTTTGTAAACCCAATTTGAGTCGAATCGAATCGAATCGAATTGATTTTTTTCGTGTTTTTAGCCGAATCGAATCGAATTACAATTTTAAAAAGACCAGAAAACCCGAATCGAATCGAATTACATTTTTTAAAAGGTCAGAAAACCCGAATCGAATCGAATCACAGTTCTAAAAAGCCGAATCGAATCGAATGGCACTTTTGTCATCGGTTTCGGTCTCTGGTTGCAGCTATCAATTGGGATCAAACACTGGCAAATAGTTACAAATGATTATGTTTTTCCAATAGTTTTTATTATTAAAAGTGTCGAAGAAAATGTCTTAATCAGTAAAGTGATCTCTAACTATTTCTGATGCGAGCTCATACCAATCAAGAGTACAAAATTCGACAATTGATGATTCAAGTGTAAGTCATTTGATTTTATGAAAAATTTGTAGAGAAAATTTATAAATTAAACTATTAGAAATAGTCATTAGAATTTTGTTAGATCAATTATTCAATTGAATGAATAAATATTCCATGTATATCTATTAGGTTTAGTTGATATTATCAATGAGAAAAGAGATAAACTCAGGTGTAGAATTCAAATTGAGCATGAATGATTCAAAATTTATATAGTTTCAAATAGATATGTAACAAGATAAAATTCAATTCATGTTCAAATCGACAATGAGAAGAATCTCGTACGACTAGTGTGCTTTCCATTTACTTATTGTTTTTCCGTATTCACTTGTAAATTCTATATTTCAAAAATGAATTTATTTATTAGAATCGGATTTTCATAACAATAAAATAAATCCTAGCTGTACAACTTAATATAGCCCAACTTTCTACTTCGCTGTTTAATTTTAAAGAAAAATCAACTGTTTCGGATTTATGCTCCCTGAGCTTTTCGTATTTTGCTAAAGAAGCTCTTGAGAAATAAAAACTTGGAGAAAACTGAAAACTGAAGCCTTAAAAGCTGCAGTGACAGACGTTGGCTATACTTTAGCACCAACTCTAAACTTAAACAAGTCCACACCCAAAAAAATCGGATTACACTTTATTGACTTTTTGTCTTTTTTACTATGCAATAAGTATAGTCAAGTAGAAAAAAACATTAGTGCCATGCAAGTGTTTCCTCTCTTTTGATTTTCTTACTATTTAACACAAACGAATGTTCTTTCAAAATTTATTATTTTTTTCTAAAATTATGAAGCATTTGCAAGTTTTCATTTATAAAAATGCTTCGCATTGGTTAATTGAGTTTTAAAACACTGTCGGCGATAGAAATAAAAAAGAAGAGAACTCATATTTAAAGAGAAAATCGTCTTTTTCTCTCATCTGAAAAAAGACTGACTCGTTTTTATGCCAGTCCTTGTACTGTAGAAAGAAAACAAAACACTTGTTTAAATATTGTCACTGACAAAAGAAAAGTGAGATACTTCGAACTACTTTCTTTCTTTCTTACCCTTCTAAAAAATGTATGTTGTGCCTTCTTACGCGCAGAATACTACTCAAAATAATGCTCGCGACTCATTTCGGCGTGATCTCGAGAGTATTCGACGAGATTTGAACGATTTACGTAATAGTACTAATTCAACATCATGCTTGGTTTGTTCCCGTCGAGCAATAACATCACGAATCAAACCAACGACTTGTCCTCACTATCATTCAGCTTACGATCAACGTTTTGTGAAACCAACAAAACCGCACTTGGTTCCTAATTATATCTTTCATACACTGCCTGAAACAAAGTCATCATGGGAGTCTTCTTGGACTAAGAATGAAAATTATCGTTTCATGGAACCAACAAAGTCGTCGATTGTTCCTAATTATATCGTTCGTACACAGCCTGAAACAAGGTCATCATGGGAGTCTTCTTGGACTAAGAATGACAACCATTATAACTATCCGCAAAGACCATGGACAATATCGAGATATGTCCCTTAGAAAAGAATATTTCTAATAGGAACATAAAACTCTACAAGGTACTCAGCAAAATCTTGAATCGAGTTATCAATATCAAAATTCTAAATGTGCCAATGAATTCGGTCAAACTGTCCAGTTCATTTTAACTGCTAATGTTGCTATTTTATGCTTATACTTTGTTCAACCAATGTTTGTTGTTTATCTTGAGAAAGAAAAGAATTTTTAAACCATACTCTATTGTTCTCATATGGTTTCGTAGTGATTTCTCATCTGAGAAAAGTCTAGTACAAGGTCGATTAATGAAGAAAAACATGTTGATGTTTCTTTACTTTTAAATGAAATATTTCATTGATTCACCAACAAAATTTTCTTTTTGAAAGCAATGAGGAATAGTTTTAAATGTAGAAAATAAACTAAAACATCAAGCAGTGCTTATATGCTTTATGAAAACCCATCGAAACATTTTTTCTGTAATTTATTTTCATTTTTCTGGCATCCCACCAAGCATTTTAGAAAAAAAGAGGAAAAGAGAGGATACTTAGTTTCAAGAAAAAGAGGACTTTTTTCAGCCTTCGATCCTACAAGAAATATTCGTGCTGAACCAAAAATGGCATACAGTCGACAACATATCGGTTCTATTTAATGTCTACTTAGAAAGATGTATTTTGAACAAACTTCAACGCCCATAACATTTCAGTTTGTGATACTTGATCATCGAACAACAAAGGTTTATTTGGATCAACTAATTGAATAGTATGTGTAGACGACGTGAAAGATGTTGTTACCAATACTGAAAAGATAAGTTGTGAATTATTCTTCGGAGCATTCAAATTATTTTTGAGTTTTTCATTTTGCATGTGCTGTTCAACAGCTTTCCAGCCTTTGCTAGAACAGTCTAGATCACTAGTACGACATATTGTATAAATAAATGTTGTTTCCGATGAGCCTTGCTTCAGTCACGTTTTTACTGAATCTCCATTACTATCCAATTTAATCATGATTGATTGAATGTTATTTTATAGTCAGACATTTAATAAATATAGGTGAAAGTGACGCAAATGTTACAATGTGATTATATATATATATATATATATATATACATACTTCTGTCACCTATTCAACACAACGGGCGTCTTTTCCCACCACTAAACATTATCTTTTTTTTGTCATTTCGCTGTCTTATAAATAAAAAAGAGTCATCACGTTGTATGATCTTTTATAGTCATCTGATATTTTCTTTTAAGCCATAATTAGTATTCACTATACAGAATTTCACTTTGGTAAAGTTGCTTTGTGAAACCATGAGATGTCCAGGACACGGAGGTGTGCATTATAGGAGGTTTTACTGTAGTTACATTTATAGTACTGATAGACCTATCATCTTGTCGCGACAGAAAAGAGCAATTAGAAGCGAATCGATGTCCACAACGACGCATGAAGCAAATGATGGTGAAAAACTCGTCAATATTAAGTATTTTTCTTTTAACTTTAATTTTTCAGAAAAAGAGGATAAAGATGAGTGGGATGCCAGCATTTTTGTATTACAACTTTAAGAATATAATTCGATAAACTAAATGAAGTCAAGTCAACATCACCTAATTGTATTTGCCGTTAAATATTTTGAAACGAATCATGAATTGTATAAAATCGTCATAAATCAATTATTAAGATCTATAGATACATGCTCTTTATAGAGTTTTACCTAGCCTCGCCGAGAACCTCCAATGAGTAAAATAAAAATTATCAGTTGAAATGATTTTTGTCGTTATCACTTCATAAAAATCAAATGAGAATATTCGTTGCAGTTATTTCGTGCTTCCTGTTAGTCATAACAAACACGATACTTCTTGTGACGATTTTTGATAACAAGATATCGCATAATGTGAGCCATACTTTATTTGGATGTCAAAAATAATATATTTAGCACATTTTTACGATATGGTCATGCATAAGAAGATAACCCATGTAATAAAAACCGCATGAAAATCGGCGGTTAACCGCGGTTTTACCGGTCCGGTTACCGGCTCTCATTACCGCAGAACGGATAAATACCGCGGTTTACCGCAAAAATTGATCCAGTATTCGCAACATGGGAATACAAAATAGGTGACATGTTTAACATGTAGGCATTCTTATAGGTATCAAGTTAAGGTAAGAATATGCGTATAAGTATTAGTGATGCTATTAAGATTCGAGCAGCATGTTAATAACAAGAAAACAAGAGAAAAACATGGTAATACATTGAGTGTGAACAAAACATGTGAAGCATAGATAATATTATGATTATGCGTAATACATGGTATAAGTGTAGTGTTTTGTTATAGTAATTCCATAGTGTTGTTACACTTAGAGGCGCTGCCAGAAATTCAGACTAGGGTGGACTCGAACTACCTTAGCTTTGAAAAACGAAAAAAATGATTGGAAAATTTATCGAATTTTTGGATTAGTCAAAACTGTTTCTTATTTAATGCTAAATAGTTCGCATGAGTATATAGAAGGCTTGGAGTAGTTTTCGATCGGGGTTGCCACCTCTTCCGCTTTTTCACTAAAAACAAACTTTCTTTTTTTATTGAACAATTCTGCGTACAAGAAACTAGATAAGATGCTACTCGATGAAAGTTTCTTAGAAAATAATTTTCTAACTCATAATTTTCTTGAATTCTAGTAAAATTTTCGCTTCGCACATTAGGTTTTCCAATAGATTTTTCCGTTAAAACACTTCCGCTTCATTTTGGCTTCCAATATGAAATGCGTTCTCCTTGATTTGAAATGCTATTGAATAACAGAAAATTTCTTTCGAGTTCTTGTTCATCTGCTAATATAATAGATGAAAGCGAAGTCATACTCGATCGCTGTATATACGAAATGATATTGTTCTCTTGGTTTTGTGAAAAGCAAGCATTGTTTTTGACAGTGTACGTTTTTTGGGCAAACCTTTTATCTTGTGTGCCAAAAAGGAATCATCTTTGGCGTGTATATGAAAGGTAAAATATATAATTTCTCATATTGCTGTGAAAACTGGGTTAAAAAATTTTTGATTCCACACTATTCGCGTAAACTTTCAAAGTCCTGTGTCAAAAAGGTGCTGCCTTCAGTGGCATATCCACTTCGTAAACTCGTGAACTGATAGTTCCAATACCGTCATTTCAGTATTACAGAAGGAATATTTTTGGGAAGATAAAAAAATTTCGAAAAAGCAGCTTTCCACTTTTTCCATTTTTGTTTCCGCTATTTTCCGCTTTTCTGATCTGATGAGGTAGCAACCCTGTTTTCAATCATCCTCCAATAGAAAACAAGCAAGAATCTTTATCTTTATCTTTATCTTTATCATAGCTAGCAGTCATATGCTGGAGCATCACTTGTATAAAAAGATCATCGATTTTTTCAGAAACCTTAAAAGATTTCTGGGTGGGCTCAACACATTTTAGGGTGGGCTTAGCCCACTCCAACCCACCCCTGGCGCCGCCACTAGTTACACTTCAATCATCTGTTCTCTAATCGGCATCTACCATTTTACACGTGAAAATGAAATCAGTTTTCAAAATGTGCCTGATCAAAGTAGACGCTTGAATAAATCTCGAACTTCTAAACGAGAAACTACTGTAATGTTGTCAATCAGCATAGGTTACTCAATTTCCGGTAAATAAATTATAGAGCGATTGTAAAACTTTACCAACAAAGTCAATAATAAACGTGTGGATACTTATAATGATGAAAAACAACAGAACAAACTATTTGACGGGCGTCTTTCGAGAGGCATTACCATATGCAGAGAACAGCAAATGGCATATATGGTGCAATACTAAAATGTTCTTTTATTTATAGTGAAGGGTGTGTACCCAAGTCGACTAATCCGACCACCAATTCTATCGGATCCTATAACATCCTACTAACCGAGGAAATTCAATTGGATTCTAGGTTTCAGAATTATTGACAGATCCGGCGGGAGAATTTAAAAAAATGATCAAAATTCTATTTAGTGCAAAAAAGCTTTTTAGAGGTTGAATATAGCAGATTTTTTTGGCGTATCAGATCTCAGAGTAGGATACGATCGGATATGCATCGGATTCCGATCCTATGGGTCCGAATCTCGGTCCGAAACCCTGAATCCATCGATTCTCGTGGGTTTTCATATAAGATCTGAGTTAACCCATTTTCAGATCCGATTGGATTCAGTTGTAGGAATGAACGACCTGAGTAGCTTCACGGATATAATTTTTCAATACAGCTTTTACTATTCAGTTTATGAAATGACATATGGTGAATACCAGCAAAGAAGACAGTGAATTTGAAATATTAACTCACCGCACAGTTCTCCTCGATATTCCTCCTCGTTTACAATGGGAAAATGATCATGGCTATTGTGATGAAACGACAATATAAGTTTTCGGTATATTTATGATCAGGATCTTTAATACTAAGTAATTAAGTACTCAACAGTAATCAATCTATACTCATCTTTATTTTTGATTCAAATAGATTTTATTATGAACAAGATTGTCTAAAACAGATACCTATTAATCAAGAAAGGTATACGTTCCTGCATTGTTGCAATAGTAATTATTTCGTTTTGCTCACATTTCTATTAAAATTTTCTTTCTGTCAAATCTCTACACATCGATTATTACAGTTTTTTTTTCGTTTTATCGAAATTAGTATAATAATGATTATAATCATTATTAGGCCTCTACTATGGTGCTTGGATCTCTCAAAAACTTGTTCGTGATATTAATAAGGATGAATTTCTCCCACAAAGAGCATCCGATCACAACGGCGGTAATCCGACACCCACACCCACACCCCCAACGAACAATGAGTAAAAATGATTTGGCGGCCACAAGAAAAACAAGTCAAAAAGATAGTGATGAAGGAGGGTGTAGACCACTTGATGTGAGTACATTTATTTCTCTTGAGGTTTTCAGCTTGAATAAAATGTAAGGATAACATATATTTAGATCGACTATGGAATTGCTGTAACAGGTATTGTGGATGAAAATCATGTAACACTACCTGTGCGTTTATCTGTTTCTGCTTCTAATGAGCCGAATACACATCATGAGTATGCTGAATCTCTTATCGAAATGGATGGTATTGTGAAGATACGTGATCTAGTTGTTGGTGAATCATACGTTCTTCTTCGATACTCATCCTATAAACATGTACCGTCCAATGGCACTATCAATGATTTTCTATCATCGAAATTTGATGAAAAATTTGAATTTGTGGCAAATGAGAAAACGTATATTTATGAAGATCCAAAGAAAATTCCTTCGACAGGATCAGTCTACTATCGATGTGTTCCACAATCTGAATAATAATCCGTCATGAACTTTAGCTTTATTTTATTCTGCTTTACTTTTAAAAATTTTATTATATATAAAGTGATTATTTGAGAGAAAGGTTTTATTTCTAATGTGTCACATATTTGGCAAGCTTATCTATAGAGACTCTGTTGTAAGTAGCGGAGAATGTCTAGCATGTGGTGCAATACCAAAAACAGTTTCTTATTTATATGTGATGTGAAAGATGTTATCAACATAATTCTCAGATACTACAGTTGTCCACAGTTCGTTTCAATATTGACTTATGACGAATACAACTGAAGAAGAAAAAAACGCGGAAACAGTCACTCAACAGCATACTGTTCTTCTCGATATTCCCGCTCGATTACAATGGGAAAATGGTCACGGTTATTGTGGAGAAACCGCCATACAAAGCTTCGGTATGTCTATAATCATGGTTTCCGATATTAAGTAATGTTCATTTTCACTTCCAAAAGTAACTCTTTAAAAAGCATAAATATTAACTATGTGACGTAAAACATTATATATTGCGTCACTATGACTCATTTAATTCTGTTCGCATTTCGTAAGAAAAGTGGTTGATTTCCATTAAAAAGCATCATAAGAATAACCTAGAATTTTCATTGGTTTATCGTAATAATATTTATAATCATTGCTAGGTCTTTATTATGGTGCTTGGATATCTCAAAAACTCGTTCGTGATATTAATAAAGGTGAATATCTCCTGAAAAAACTATCTGTGGATGATTATCGAGATCCAACTCATACGTTGACTGTCCTTCATTTTACTTATAACGAATGGAATTGGGAAAACTCGGTTCAACCTCAATTTTATGACTTCTGTCGTTGGATAAAGAGAGCTATCATACAAGGATATCCTGCAATGTTTGTTGCGTATCTTCTTTATATGCAGGATGAAAATTATGATCATATTATGCCGGCAATCGGTGTTCGATTTCAAAACGAACATGAATATGATCCGGAAGATGTACTTCTCTACTATAATCTCTTTCATGAAAAACTAATAGAACGGAAAATGAGTAAAGATGATTTGGCGGCTACAAGAAAAACATGTCGAAAACATTGCGGTGAAGGTGGATGTATACCACTTAATGTGAGTACATTTGTTTCTCTTGAGGTTTTCAGGCTGGAGAAAAATTAATGATAACATATATTTAGATCGACTATGGAATTGCTGTAACAGGTATTGTGGATGAAAATCATGTAACGCTACCTGTGCGTCTATCTGTTTCTGCGTGGAATGAACCGAATACACATCCTGCTTACGCGGAAGCTCCTGTCGAGATGGATGGTATTGTAACGGTGCGTGATCTAATTGTTGATAAGCCTTATGTTCTTCTTCGATATTCATCTTATGAACATGTACCAACGAAGGGCACTATTAGTGATTTTCTATCATCGAATTTTGATGAGAAGCATGCCTTTACAGCAAATGAGAAAACATACATTTATGAAGATCCAAAGAAAATTCCTTCGACAGGATCAGTCTACTATCGATGTGTTCCGCTATTAGAGAAATAATTCGTCATGAAATTTTGCTTTATTTTATTTTCTATTCTTATTTTCTGTAATCTTGAAAATTTGATTCTTACTCATAAATTAAAATTATAAAGACTTGAACATCTATGTAAAATCAACTTCATAATCGTGATTTTCAATTCATATTCAAACTGTCAACCAAAACTAAAATGAATACAACATCGATAACAATATTTAATGAATTTTACGAATCTACAGTTCATAAATTTTTAATGATGTGTATTCAAGATTTGTTCAGCCATTTTAGTTCCTTGAATTCTTGCTTTTATTTTCTTATAGCAAACTTCTCTCGGTGTAGATGTATCATCAGCAAATGGACTAAAGCCACAATCATCAGTCGTACCTAATTGCTCGATGGGAATAAATTTTGCTGCTTCTAAAACACGATCACGAACTATTTCTGCCGATTCAATGATTGGATTAGACGGATCAATGACACCAATGAATATTCGATGATTCGACTTCATATGTTCTTGAATACATTTCAGTACTCTGATACGATCTGGTTCAGAAGAAAGTTGAATATAAAAATTGGTCAGCTGTAATTGAAATAGATCAGGTAATAGCAGAGTATAATCAATATCCGAGGAATGCTGTAAATAGTAAAAATAAGATTTCCTTTCAAGAGTTTCTACTTGAATTCATCATTGAAATACTCACAGCACAATCGAGATCACCACCTGGACAAACATGTACGCCAATTTTTTTCTGTTCATTTGGATTGAATCGGTCAAGAACACGATTATTGATCTTGATAAAATCCTTGAGTAAATGACCACTTCGATCAACTTTTAATGAGAGACGAGCTTCTGTAAAATCGAGTTGAACAGCATGTGCTCCTTGTTCTAAAAGCGTGTGTATTCAATAGAATGAATTCTCTAAAGAATTTAGGTTACCTAAACAAAGTCGAATATCTTTTTCACATTCATTGGTCAAGTCCTGAAGAAATTTTTCATAAGAATAATTTTCAATACAACCCGTATTTAACAGGTGTGGTGAATAAACCATGGATAGTGCTGATGCAGTGATAACGGCTTGTTTAATGGGCTTTTTTGTCAACGCTTTGGCGGCATTTAAATATTTGTACGCATAAGTTGCGTATTTAAAAGGTGCTTTAACAAGACGTGGCAAAGTTCGTACATGACCTATTAAAGTATTTTCATTCAGGGTAATACAGAAAAGTCCGAATTAAAACTCAACATAATTTGATGAATCAAAATAGAAGAAAGTATGCTTAGGAGTTTTTCCTTTGTTGTCACATCTATAGAAAATCTTCATATTAGGAATTCATTTTGACAAGGGATAATTGTTCTTTTATCTTTTTCTCGCCCCTATAGTGGTGTCTTATCTTATGTCAAGATTTTATGAAAATGAAAGTTTATAATAGAAAATGATTTTGACTGTTTCTTATTATGTCTTATTTCTTGCAAAGTCTTATCTAATTCATAAACTTTAATTAGAATCAATAATGGCAACTGTTCATTACTTTCGTCTTTTTGCTAAAGTAAATCTTCATCTAAATTATGGCTAATAATCAAGATTAAATTCATTTGTTTTACCCTAGAGAAAGCAAGTGACATTTAGCGCTTTTTGTTTATATTTGAACTATAATTAGACGTTTGTAGTTTATTGATGCGTATACTTACCATCGGCAAATGTTATTTGAAAGCATTGCTTATCAAATTTATATCGCTCAAAGATGAGATCATAAATTGGATACGTCACAAATGAAGGCTTTGTTTGTTCACCATCAGATAAAACCATAGATCCGGTGACTTGATCCAACTCTCTGATTGTCTGTTCTACTGCTACATTTTCAATTTTACGAAAATCCTCAATGGTCATCAAGTCGCTTTCGAATTGAGTACGAGCTTGAACTAATTCCTGTGTACGAGGAATAGAGCCGATCAATTCGCTTGGAATCGAAATCTAAACAAGAATTCATTGCGAATTGCATTCAAAACCACTTCACTTTCCACTTACCCATTGGTGTATTACTTCAGATGCCATATCAAGTTGCGCGTAGCTTTGAAAATAAAAAAGCAATTATGTCGAGTCTTTTCTAATTTCCTTGAAATAGTGAGGAGATGCAAATGAATCCTTTTTATTTGCTTTTACGAAGAACAGGATAGGTATTTTTGAGACAAAACTACTTTCTTTTTATCTCTTTTGCTGCATCAATAATTACATACTAACAAAGTGGCTACTAGATTTTTTTCTTTTTTTTCTACTGCAGAACAAAGATAAGAAATATTACGAAAGTTTACATTCATAGCGATGCATACTCAGACAAGCTTTATTACATATGGGTGGTCTATGGAAAAAAGCAGACGGAAACTTCCATGACAAAGAATATTTAACACTTCCGAGATTACATTCATGAGTTCTTTAGTGAGGATTTTCAAAATAGATAAAACTTGAACTGCATATTCATCAATTCATAAGCAAAGCGAAAGAAAAAATGCACTGACATGGAAGTATTTCAAGCTAGGGGTGGACCATTTAATTTAATGCGAGTTAATTAACGGCGTTAATTGACTAAAAGCGTTAGCCGTTAATATTAACCGTAGATATTAACGTTAACTGAAAACTTTATTTTTTTCTTTTTCATCTCAATGGAGTGTTTTAGATCATTTCTGCGTAAGAATAATTAACTACTCTTTTTTTATTTTGCCTACATAGTCAAACGTATGACTTGAAAAGAGAAAGAATGATTTATATTAGTGTTTAAAAGCGCTAAAGATGTATGTGTACAATCTGCAGACTGGAATTTGATTGAACACGAGTCAGAATAGTTATGAACGTATTATAATTCTTTATTGCATTATAGATCTGTTTTGTCTTACACAAATGATGCACAGGAAACTACAGCAACGAAAGAAGATAATAGTTCGAAAGCATGAAAAAACGATTCGAAGTATATTGTGTATTTAGAGTTAAACAAGATAAACCAAGGAACAAAACTCCTATATGAATATATAGTGATCATGTATACCATCCAATGTATGTAAATGCGAATCAAAGTCAGCCACACAAGTACATCCTAAATATTATGAATATGTTTTACATTAAAACTTGTAAGAGCAGAATGGGTAACACTAATTGACCGAAGTAAAAGCCGAAGATCGAAGCAGTCTAAATATACGATTGGTCTTCACGAAAAATAGATTAAATCAATGAATTTGAGTCCATATTTTACCAGTGTCTAAATAGTACAAACCTAATATAATATTTTGAAAAGGAATTCAGTCAAATAATCGTAATTTACCTTATCAGAATTTAGGCAACTGTACTAAAATTTTATTTCAACTTGAATACAAGCATGAAGATTTCTTCACTATTTTTTCCTTAAGAGACACGTCGACTTGTCCTCTGACTATTTTTTTCTGATCAATGTATCATCTTTTTAATTTGTATCTTTGGGCAAGTTGAGTTACCCAAAGGCTTTATCATTTTTGTTTGTTAAGCATCATCATTTTTTGTTGAAAATAAAATGATAAATTTAGAGTAATTCCTGGCTCATCAAACTGGATATGAATTGATCTTTTTTAAATGAGAGAATTTGACACAAATAAACGAGGATATATTAGTTAAACATAGATGCATCGAGTTCAAGAATTATATTCTTTTCATGAGATGCCTAGTTCGACTTCGAATATAAATTTACATCTGAATAACTGTTCACAATTCGAAAATAAATGAAAAAAAATCGTGACCATTTAAAAACCGTCCCACAACAAAAGAAAAAGATCATCTAACTGGCAGTGCATTTTAAATTTAGGAATAGATTTCGATTTCCTTTTTTTATAAATTATAAAATTTATAAATTGATTTCGCTCCCATTTATAATTCAGGATAAAGATATAGATTTAGTTTTTTAATGGCGTATTGGGATACGTATTTTATGTTTGGTCGAAATCCGAATATGGGCATTAAAGTCGAGTGTCAATGTCTCTGTAATTTATCTTGTATTCGATATCGAATAGATTAGCTCAGTTTCGGTTTGTTGTTAATGTGAAAGTGTACACTTGTTCATATGTTAGCTGCATGATGTTACTGCATTTCTTTATTGTGCTTTTCGAGCTTGGTGTTCTCAAAAAATCGTATATGCAGATATTTCCTGTTTGTAACCGTCGATGCTATGCTCGTGAAGGTTCGATGCTTTTTTCACCTGTGGTATGAGTAAGAGCTATCAGTTCAATTCGTGAGTTGCTTTAGTACTATTTACAAAAGTGTCCCTGTTTTTCAAGTTCTTTGTGTATAGCATAGTCAAACTTCTGTAATCATCGTTGTTTATTTGAAGACGGAATAATTGTTTTTTGTGTAACTTAGAGAGACGGTATGTTCAGATTTTTCCGTTTGGTATCGCTTGTAATATTCAATTTTATCTCTTTATGTATATTGCTATATTATTCTGAAAGTTTGGTGTGGATGTGAGGAAAGGCAGACATACGCGTCAACACGCACACAAGTCAATTTATAAATTTTACAATTTATAAATTTTATAATTTATAAAAACTAAATCTTTTTCTGACGGTGGCATGAAAACATGAAAGTGGTTTTTTTTCCATTTATATTCGAAGTCGAATTAGGCAGTTTAACGTTCTTGGATGCAGAAATATAAGATGTTTGAATATTTAACGGAATCAAACATAAATTATTCAATCTACAATCTGAAAGAATATTTTTCTGCAAGTGTATTTCAGAAATATTCTTGCTCATCTACTGACTTATATATTGTTGACATATTTTTAAATATAATATAAGGTGCCATCTAATTAGATATTGGCGTTTTTAAAACGCTCCATGTATATATTTAACGTACCCAATGAACGTATTAGACTTCTTCGATCTTCGCTGTTCACTTCGGCCGTTTATTATTACCCTCTACTAACGAGCTGAACCGAAACTTTCTTGCTTGAATTTTATCCACTGACCCACGGAAAAGTTTTTCAACCAAAACCGAGTTTATTGGCGGCTTACCAGTTGCTACTCTCAGCGGTTATTAAGAACCGCAAACGTTAGGCTTTTATTAGGTTTTTTCATACCACCCGAAACCGCGGTATCCTCAAACTTCAGTTCTTAACGATTTAAAAAAAAAATTAATTCTTCATATGATGATATATTATACCTGGCATCTATACGGTAATCCTTCATTTTCCATGTTCGCGACATATCTTCGATCTCAATGCAGCGATTGAATATCGCGGTCAACTCGTTTAATACCACTATCTATTTTATTATTATTTTTCCTTTAACTAGATTCGAACATCTTGCCGTGTCATTGCAATCCACTAATTCCATTGAGCCATATAGCGATGTTCATACTAATATTAAATATGATAGTCTCTCTGATCAGTGGTGAAAAATCTTCTCAGGCTTATGTTTACTAGCAAATTTATAAGAATCTTAGAATTACTAGTAATGTATACGATATTTATAATTTTATCAAACTTCCTAATAGATTCATGTTGTTGATGAACTGTGTGTAATTTGCAAAATCTAATTTATTGATTTATAATTAGTGATGGCTATTAACGTAGAAACATAATATATTTTATTAAAAAATTTTCTGGATGAAAGTACAAATTTATCAGAATCTATAGTTGAGAAATTGTGGTATCGTGCGACACTGAAAAGTCTAATTATTTGAAGTACTCTTGTAATTCAGTATATATACAAATCTATATGTCAAAACGCAGATGAGATTACTATTTAGCATATATATTTCGATTTTATCAATCGAAATGATGGAGTTGAGTGTATTTTTACGTCTGAACTTCCACNTGATTCTAAAATATTTTCTCTGTAATTCGACTTTTGGAATTAATTTTTTTTTCATTTAATTTTATATTATCATACAAAATGAATATAGATATAAAGTTTATTAAGGTTTGATAAAAAATGTTATATTTTTATTTTTGAAATTATCAGCGTATAATCTACTTCATTTCTCAAGTAGAAGAAAACAGAACTTAAATTCAAGCAGAATTTCTTTTATCAAATCATGAATATATGTATCAAAATTGTTGTGATATCTCATTATGACAACAATTACATAAAATTCTCAGAATATACTAAGACTATATTCTTCTGAATAATGATATCTTTGGAAACAATGTATGGAGATCGCGATTCGTAATAACAAGGTCGCAAGAAATAATATCGCGAAAGATAGTCGTTCTCGAATACCGCAAATAAGCTACATATCACCGAGTTTTTTTCAAACCGCGACTTCCAGCGGTAACTACGTGGCGGTTTCGTTGGAGCATACCGCGATAAAATGCGGTTTATTTCGCACACCGCGGTCTCCAAAGATATAACCGCGGTCATTATCAAATAAATGTGGAAACTTCAGATTTCATCCGAGAGTTATGTGTAGTGCAAAAAGTGCATGGAACATATGAGTCATTTTAGAATGTCTGAACACCAAAATTATTATGAGAAACTAGGAAATTTGATTTCTGGATGCAGTTTTTGTGCATTTTGAGACGTTTTCCCGGCGATGTTTCGTTAGAAAGCTACGATTTAGTTCAAAACCAATATCAGATTCGGAATCAGCGTTAAAACCTGAGTCGATTTATATATGCTGTGAATAATTCTGAGAAAAATTTGTTTTTTGAAAAAAACTCCCTGTACCCCTCCTCAGGGATGGTCTGATCAAAAATGACAATTTTTTTGATAACTCAACCATTTCTTGAGGGATCCTTCTCATCTTCGAACTCGACCGAGATATTCATGAGATTGAACTGTGTGGAAAAGTTCATCACGATTTGACTCTCCTTTCGAAAGTTATCGTACCTACGGCCGGACACACTGACCGATTCTAGTGTACTCACTTTTTGAGTACACAAAAACCGCGTCTAACAGCGGTATCTACTTAAATATTTTTCCGTGGGTAGTGTGCTTTCCATTTACTTATTGTTCTTCCGTATTCACTTGTAAATTCTATATTTCAAAAATGAATTTATTCATTAGAATTGGATTTTTATTACAATAGAATAAATCTTAGTAATTTTTTCTTTATTCTCAATGCGATGTCCTCCTTATACGTGGATGCCGGTGCATCCTCTGTAACAACCATACCCACACCCTTCCTGAGCTTTGTGTTTTCTTAAAAAAGCTCTCGAGAAGTAAACCTAAGAGAAAATCAGCCCAAGTAAGCAAAAAATGAAGGGAGACTGCCGACATGACTAACCCCCCCTCATAATAAAAGGCCCAGGTCTTCTATTATGGCCCAGCAAACTTTGTAAATTTTGTCCATTTTTGCTGGTGAGAAAACAAAATTTCTATGGAGCAACTTCTCTGGAGGGGTCTTCTATAATGAAGGAGGGTTTAGTCAAAAATGTCCGCAGCTGCCGTCAAGTCTAGTCTGAAACGTCTTGCATGCCCGTCTTGTCTAGTCAGCTTAATGAGGAGTGTCTTACAAACACGTCTGTACTAGTCTGAAATGTCCTTGAGCCCAGTCATGTCTAGTCCGTGTTGTCTGTTGACCCAGTCCAGACTAGTAAGAAAATTGAAAAGAGAGGTTACACGGTGGATTTGAACATCCAGCCAGACGGTGTTCGAGATATGACGGACATTCTGGCGGGAGACTAGGATACTAAGATAGACTGTCGTAAGTATATATAGTCTAAACTTATATATTGACTCCCATCTATGCATAGAAAATGAGAAACAAACTGACGTAAACGGTATTGACTAGTCTGAAGCATCTTTTGGACACCTCATGGCTAGTCCGTTTTTAAGACGTGTTTATTTTACTCAATGCTTATCGAATTTTTTTCTAGCTAGAGGGACCATTAGAGAGTCTGCTGTAATCAATAGTACATTCGAAAAGATTTAATATATTGCGTGCATGCCTGTCTTGATATATTTTATTTTATTTTGCATTAGCATATGATAAAAATTTAAGAGTGTATCAAAACATAAAATAGTAGAGGTTAGTACTAACAACAAAATTCATCTCGTATCTAGGAGTGCTAATTTATGTATACTGTATATTTTTTTTTGAACTGTGATAGGTGGTAATTTAAAAAAAAATGAGAAGTATCTAAATCGCTCATATCAAAATATAAAGTTAGTTTATTTTAAATATCAATTCTAATAATTTAAAATAAACCAAAAATAATGTAATTATTAGATGAATATACGGTGACTTAAATTTATAACTAACCTAAGAAAATAATATGAAAAAAATTAGTTTCTTCCCGGTATAAATTATTTTTATTTTTATACTCAAATTAATGTTTTTAAAACCCAACTAATTAATCGCACTTGCTTATAAATCAAAATATATTTGTCGAAAAAATTATAAAATCTTCTTAATTTATTTTTATTTAATGTTATCTAAAGTAATCGCGTTTGGATAAAAGACAATTTTATTGATACAGAAAATTAAAAGTTTCGAGTAAAAATTGTATTAAATAGCATCTTAGAATGATCATGAGTGTGTAGAATATGACTTCTCGATCATATGACTCGATGGTTCTGGTGATGGGTAAGTGTCACATTGTATACATGCTCGAATATAATCTTCATCATTACATGTTTCCATTCAGACTAGTCCAGACTCGTCCACTATATAAGGCTATAACTGGTTGTATACTCGTCCCAGATCTCCTTAATTTTTTATTCTTAAACCATCTTCGGACGGGCGACAGGGACACTCCGTCACGACTACTCTTATTAGCTTTTATGACTAGTCGTCAATCAGAGTACTAGAACGCATATGCATGACGGTCAAAAACTCGGACTAATCGTGGACGAGTAGTTTTTGAGACAAAGACTAGACGGGACGGGTCGACTGGATTAGAAAAAAGACTAGTCATTTAACCAGTCTTTTGCTCACTTGAGAGAGAATGAAATCTCCTAAGCTTTAGTGGCACACGTTGGTTATACTTTAGCACCAAACCCTAATTTTCTATCATACTAGACGGGAAAGAAATTTGGGACATGCCGACATCCAATTTTTACATCAAACTAAAGTTTTATTTAGTAGCCTGCGTGATTCTGGGTACATTACCAGTGGAAACTTTATTGATCTTTGAATGTTCGAGAAAAGTAAATCTCAGTCGAAATACTATGTAATGTGAATTTTCTTATTAGAAGTTTGTATATGTTAACTCTAATATATATAGAATGAAAGGAAGATATAAGGAATGAAAGAGAGGTATATAAAGAGCGAAAGAGACAAGCAGTGTCACTGATGTTATGTGACAGAACGAAGAAAAATATGACCTTTATGGGGATCGAACCCATATCTTCTGCTATGCGGGCAGATGTCCTATCAGTTAGACTAGAAGAACGTATTAATCTTCGTTTAGCGTTAGTGTGATCCATCACTAATGCTAACAGTATAATTTGCATTTTACTCAGTAGATATGGCGCATGCAAAAGAACAAGGAATTCTCATTACACTTTATTGATTTTTCGTCTCTTTTATTGTACGATAAGCATAATCCAGAGAAAAAAAAGTAGATGCAACGAGAAGAATAAGGAAAACGATTGGGTTTTCATTCTTTCCATTCGAAAGATATACAAAAGTCACTAATAAATCTATTTAACAGTTAAATTACAATATTTAACTATGAAGTACATATATCAGCGACTATGTTGTGTATCTTTTGATTGGAAAGAATGAAAAACCCAATTGATTTCTTATTCTTCTTGTTACATTTACTATTCTTTCTCTTGAACTTATAATTCCAACTTTCATCTTCACCAAGATACGTAAAATATCGAAACGTTAACATAATCTTTTTAAATAAAATAGAACAAAATAAAGTAAATTGCCGTTAAATTAAACATCTCTTTAGACTTCGGAAAATTTTGGCTATGAACAGCTATAACAATACAACATGTTTTTCGACTACACACCATCACGTAAATCAAGAATCATCCTATACACCTATCACAGATGATCAAATAGAATACGGTTCGTTCGAACACGGTACATTTCAATCAATTTGCACAGGCGTTAATTGTACATTTAATCAGATGTACAATCATTGTTTTGAACATTGCCCATTTGAATCTGCTCATATCACTGATAGTCCTGAACAACGTGATGATGATAACTGTAATTCAATTGAATCAACTCACTGTACATTTAATTCGACACACACTGACTATGTTACACATGATTCATTTACACCTATTCATACGACTGATATTGATCTACAATGTATTGAGGTAGAACGTAATTGAATTGAATTGAATCATTCAACATTAGTTTTCATACACAATGATCATGCTAACTACGGTCGAGTACAATGTAATCATATGGTTGTTAATGCTGCACAATACGCTAGTTTTATTGCTCGACAGTTAGAGGTAAGTTATCTAGCTATCGAGAAAGCTCACGAAAACATTTCTTTGTTTTTTCATATACGTAATGTGAGTTATGCGAGAAGTACAAGTTTTATTTCGTATAATGTTTTTCGCATTTAGGCTATCATCTTGAAAATTTATTTTGACTGATGTTGAACTAATTTTAGAATGTCTCTGTATGAAAAAACAAAATTTGAATGCTTCTCTCATTAGATTTCAAAGAAAAGAGTCGATTTTCTTGGAAAACAATGAGTTATTTATATACTCTAAATAAAACCAGCCGTTTTTAACAATGATTTTTTTATCATTTTTCTTCCCAAGGTAATCAGACGTTCCGTCAAGAAGAAAATAGATTTTTAGTTCGGTTAAAGTCGTTATCATGATTTTAGGTGACTTTCTCCCTCTTTGAAATAAAACGGAACCAAGCCCATAGATCCTTCGAGGGAAGAAATTTCTCGCAAATGATCATGTAGAAAACACCAAATGAAATTGTATCATTATAATTTTCTAGTATGCATCTCATTGGATAACGTTAGATAAAGAAGAAAACTAAGTAAGGGGTGATCGTTGCTGACGTATCACATTACGTTAAACACTGTACGCACATGACTATAGTTCTTTGTCGCTTTGTTAAAAAATGAAGCGCAGCTTATTAACACTTACTATTATAGAAAAAAAACTAATTAGTATGATCTAAAAGTATATTTGATTTAAGAAGATGTAACTAGACTTGCACATACTGATAGAATTTACATAGTTTTGAGATATATCTGATTTGACATCCTATTCGTTTTTAATGAACACTGTCCACGATCGAATTATTGCTCTAATCGGTGAGTATTGAATTGAACTAGTATAGCTAATAATATTTCTGGAAAAGTAGCTTGTTGAAGATTTAATTACTTTTCTGAAATCCGCAGTGCCTCTGCTTCATTTCTCAAAAAGATTCCAAATGGATTTCTTTATGAAACATTTGCAGCTTAAGAAAAAAAGAAGCAAAAGCTAAGTAACTGCTGTCCGTTTGTATACCGAGTCGATTCGTTTATGTTGTAAGCGAATTTATCTATGTATACATTTCCCCAGAAAATTAGATGATACGCTTGTAGCCTATATTATAAAACTTGGATCTTCTGGCAATTAAAACTCATTGGTAGTAGAATTTGAAATGACATTTTATTTTTGCTTAATGACGATTATTTACTCGATTCCGGCTTCTTTATTATTCTTGATTTAAGATCAGAAAGATTTCGAATTAATCCGAAGATATTCAAACGTTTTTCTTGACTTTTCGAGCTTCGATTTCAAGAAATTCTATCACGTGATGTGGTAAAAGCGCAATCACACCATCAATGTGTTCAAAAGTGGTTGAGTGATACTTGTCATTGATATATGACCTGCCCGTTCGATAGAGCCCGTCGACTTTGTCTGAAGACGCACGAGTCTATCCATGTAGCGTCGAGGTCTGAAACAATTTCAATAAACTCGACCCTCACCCAAACATTTCGATCGGACGGACACTAGCGCGTGGTTGATGAGCAGCCGTTGTACTCTAGATACGCGCAAGATCATGGGTGCTGGAAAGAAAAAGACATAAAAAATGCCCAGTTCACATGATCCCCATCACATAGTTCTATATCATCTCGAATAATTATGCTTCTTTTTTGTAGGATATAAAGGAAAACATATCATTCTATGTGATGAACTTGGGAATCAAATTTATCCAGGTGGAAGTAAACGGCCTGAAACGGTAGAAAAACTATGTAAAACGTTGAAAAGCGGCGCCGTCTTCCGTCAGCTCGAAAAACGAAGAGAATAGCGTTAAAAGCGATGGCCGTTTTCTAGCAAAAAAACGCGGCCCTTAAAACGAACAGCCGAATTACGGCGAAATAGGGTGAGAATTAAGGCCGTTTTATGTCATTTTATAGCCATTTCAGGCCGTTTCTGGTGATCTTTCAGACGGCCGGAATGATCCTCCTGGGTAAAAATGGCAACATATCATGCCAAGAATACTTTAACGAACTGGTTAAAGTTGGCTTTCAACATGGAGCAAGTAATCAAAAATGAACATTGGCATGTTATTTTTTCTTGTAATGTTGACCAACTGTAATTATTTTTTGTCGTTGATCAATTGTTAAATCTTTTTACTCTTGGTAATTATAATAAAATGTCGTGATATCTAATGCCACTCATAGCTTTTTATCTATAAATACTGCATGTTTCGTATCCATATGCTGATAGATGTTCATCAGCTAATAATATTATTGATCCATTTTGTTGCTTTCAAAATCTTGACTTAGAAACAACAATTTGAATTCACATACAAACGTAATTACTCACGTTTATTAAAACAAGGTTCCCTGTCATGCTGCCAAACCTGAATGTTTATTAGTGGAATTGCTTTCAATAAAAAATGTCGATAATTGTTTACGAATTCTATTCGCTTGAAAAATTTATTAAGAAAGAAAAAGAAATTAACAGTTGCTTGTAAATGTCGAGAGTGCTTCTATTACGAAATAGTTTTTGAATAATAAACAGAGTATCTACAATATAGAATAATCAATGAATGAATTTTTTCAGCTTCAACGTTCTGATCTTTGTTTTTTTTCGTATGTGAATAAGCAGAATGTTCTTTGATTGAAAATGTTTTGAGTCGAGCAGTTGACGACAAATGGAATTCTATTGCTTTTTTTAAACTTATAACCTTGATTTGGCTAAATCTGAATAATAGTGTTATAAATAAACTACTTTTAATCAATAAAATTACTCATGTCTACTTGTAATGAATACGAAGATGATCACGAAAGTGAAATAGAATATAATATGGTCGAATCATTGGCTAGCGCATTTCTATTTATACCATTCAAATCTTTGATATAAAAATAATTGTCTTTATAGAAATGAGAATTCTATCATCTTGAGTATATTGCAATCATTATGTATCAATAATGTACTATTAGACGCCTAGGTTTTTTTTATTTGGCTTCGGGTTTTGGTCAATCCTAAAAGAATTGAACAACAATATAACTCATGAGTTTTCTAATCAAAACAAACCAAGAATTGCTTTTGCTATTTTTGTATCAATTAATTTTCTGCTCATCTATCTGAAAGTATGGACACGAGAATCAATTTCGTGATTGGGTGAAGCTAATCTGTCATAAAATAAGTGGTACATATAGAGTAATTGTATCCTTATCGATTGTCAGTATATTAATGTAAAAATATCTGGATTATTGGTAGTCTTTTCTTTTTCATATCATGTAAATCATTTTCAATGAAACGTAAGATATTCACAAGTTCGTTTCTTTGCTAATTAGAAACTTGAAACATCATAGAAAAAAACAAAAACAAAGGGTTGATAGTAAAAGGCTGATTCTACAGCAAACTAATATCGATTGACATTCATTAATATATTCTACTACAACTAGATATTAATTTTTAATCGGAAGATACGTATATTTGAGATAGTTGTTTTAATACATTTCTTATGGTGTTACAATTTTATTCTTATGTAAATTATGTTCTTTTTTTTAATTTATCAAATACTTCTGTTCTCGTCTATAAGTCTCGTTTGATGTGAATTAAAAATGAGTGAATAATCCTTTGTCAGGTAAATCAAACTAAATGTAATTATTTTTCTAGTAAAAAACAAAATTAACTACAAACCAATTCTATCAATATCAATTGATCCTGATTCATTTTCATTTTTTATATCTCTTGTAATTTTTAAAAAACATCATCCATTGTACTATTCTGTACACCATAATTTTTAGTTCGATTTTCTTTTTTGCATAACTTCAAGATGACGTAATGCTTGAACAAATTGGTCATTTCGTTGTTGATTTGTGCGAAAAACTACATCACCATCTGATATATCTGTTTCAATAGTTAATTTTGGTAAATATCGACGTAATTCACGTTTTATATCATTTGTACGTACGACAATTATTTCGTTTATTAATAACTAATTTATAACATAAAATGGTATGATTAATTTTAAATGAATATGAAAATCATATTTTTACCTGAGTCATATTGTTCTTTTAATTGAACTGATGTTCCATCTGCTTTAATATTACCATTCGCAATAATCATAATACGATCCGATAAAGCATCACTTTCTTCCATAAAATGTGTTGTTAATAAAAGAGTTCTTACTTTTTTCATTGAACGTAACCAATCCCATAATAAACGACGATTCGATGGATCAAGTCCACTTGGTGGCTAAAGAAGAAGATATTTTTTTTCTCTCTTTAATGCATAAGAAAAACAAAGAAGAACTTCAATGAATTAATGTTTACTTCATCAAGTAGAATTATTGTTGTATCGCCAACAAAAGCACATGCTAATGAAAGACGTCTTTTCATTCCACCAGACAATGAATTGCAATAAAGATCTTTTGATGATTGAAGATTAACTAATTAAAGCATTTCATATGCTATTTGTTCTTTATTTTTTCTAAAATCACGTGCTGTTGCATAAAATTCAATTTGTTTTTTAATAGTTAATAAATCAAAAGTATAACATGTTGTGGGCAATAACTCATCGATTTTCTCAACATACCAATATTTGTTTGTGTATCAAAACTTATTCCATCTTCATTTTCAATTATTATTTGATCTGATGTTTTGTTTATCCATACCAATTAAACAATTAAATATTGTTGTTTTACCAGAACCATTTGGTCCAAGTAATGATGTGATTTGATTTTCACATAAATCAAATGTGACATCATTAGCAGCTATTGTACCAGGATCAAATTTTTTCACAAGATGATTTACATGTACTATTGGTGTACCATAAAAATTTCGTCTTGATAGAGATGATCTACCATTAGAAAATGAATGAGTATATTTTTCAATTGTTTATGAACGCCAATAGTCACGTTTGAATAGAAAATTCCAATCAAGTGGAATACCATATTCACCTGAAAATGTATTGAAAAAGAATAATAAACGAGAATTTTTAGGAAACTTTGTATTCATTGATAAAAATCAAAAATAAACAATAGAATATCGCTCGGAAATTAAGTCGATTATCAGTGACTTTAGGATAGATTAAGATTCTTTTTAAAAAAAACTAACTACCCAGGTTGATCAAAACGGACTCGTTTACGGTCTGTTTATCGACGGTAAATGATGTCAAAACGGTATATTTACGGCAGTAAATAGGCCGTATTTGCTCGTAATACCTGGCGCAGTAATACGGCACCGTAAATGGGACTGAATTTTCATGGTTTACGGCTGTTTGTGCTCCGTACTCATGATAATACGGTCCGTATTACTGCGCCAGATATTACGGCAAACTTTCTCCCGTAAAATAGTCGTAAAGTAACCGTCAACGGCCGTATACGGACCGTACTGTTCGACCTGGGTAGCGATAAAATCGTTATCTAAACATATCTTGAGGGTGAAGGTAAAACTCTTTGAGAAAGAGCTTGTTGAACAGAACAGGACATACTAAGAGTGAACGGATGCTTGATAGAGGATTTTCTTTGAAGGAGAATAAAATTCGGGTGAGAGTGGTAGCTTCTGAGAAAAAGATAATTGCTTTATCTCTATTCATGCTATACAATACACTTTTAATGATTGAACTACGATTATCCCAACGAACAGCTTTTTTCCTAGCAGTAATCATTCCGCTATTTCTTCATCAATTTCATACATAAAATTAACGAATTATTAACAGATGAATATATAGGATGTTATGAAAATTCTGCTTCAACTGATACAAATACTGAAACTAGTTTTGATGAAATGTTTGGAATTCAGTTATACCAACTGATACTGGATTCCTGATACCAACCGTACGTACCGACATTATATGATGAACCAAATAATCTCTAAATAATTTCATATTGATTATGTATATCGATTTATTTCTCGCTTACGAATCGATCACTTGTAGCAGCAGATTATGTGAAGAATATTTGCTGTAAAAAAAAATAAATCATTGAAATTTAATAAAAGAAAAACCTGTCTAAGGGGAAAAGAGATAATTAGTATATCAAAACACATGCAAAGTCATTTTCATTTTGAATAGGAAACAATGGTGATATATTAATCATTTGAGGAGTAAATACAGATGAAATTAAAGATAGCTTATCATTTGAATTCTTATTTAAATGAATTTCAGCAGTTTTTTTTCTTGTGTTTAGTAGTATTCATGTATTGCTATTTTTTCTTCATTTAAAAAAAATCTGCATGGCAGAGTAAATGTTTTTATGTCATTTTATTATTAGGGTAAATTTCTTCACCGATAAATTTAGATAATAATGTTGGAAGTTGAAGATGAAAATCAAATAACATCATCTGATGCAGATAGCAAAGCAGATGGAAGAAAAAACTTTTGAGTACAATAAGAACAAAATGAATGCAAGAAAAGTAATTAAAAAAACAGAAGAAAATAAAAAATAAGATGAATTAATGTTTATCACTTTAAAATGTTAATTATCTTTAAGCTTTACTAACAGTTGAAGTTGAAATATGTGGTAGCACTACCGGTAACACCTTTACCACCTTCATCTTTGCCTTGATCATCGTTAATTGCTTTAGCAATTTTTTCCTTTTTATGATCCTCCATTGAACGTTTGATAAAACCCATTACGTGACTAACTAAAGCATTTGCATTAAACAACCTCCTACAACACGTATTTGTAAAAAATTCATTAATGATAAATTATTTATATTACCCTTGATTTAAATAGGTGGCCATATGCACAAAATCATTATAATTTTTATCATTAATCTAAATTAAAAATGTTTTTACAGGTAGATTTCAATACCTGAAACATTAAATACTCTTACCTAGGTCGATCGTTCCGGTCACCGGATACTGTAGGAACCGGCCGAAAGATTTTCGGAGTTTTTCCGATGATTTACCGTCGGTTCCGGCTGAAAAGCATTGGAAGTTGACCAGAATCCACCGGAAAAATCTCAGAATTTACGACCGGAATACTGCTTCCACTTTCCAGCGATTTCCCGTGTTTTCCGGTCGTTTCCCACCGTACCGCCACGACCTGGGTAATGTTAAATAATAAGCTCTTCTATCAGTTGAATGTTTTGTTCCAATAACCATTGTATCTTTAACATATGTGACGATGTAATACGGACTAGTATTGCCATGATCAAAAACCAATACTTCTTGCTATAATGTTCAATACAAAAATTTTAAAAAAATACATAGAATTTTTACTCCAATTGGTGCTTGATCGATAATAAAACCTTGTGCCAAAAATGCATAATGAGAAGTAACGATCAATAAGTCATTATCATTACGTTTTAATCGATCATAAAAATAAATCATTGCTGACAAACACAAATACCCAGGCGAACATTACGACGATCTGATACGATCGTAAACGGCTACTAACGACCGTAATACAATGCGGGTGTGGGTGTGCGGTGTGCGGTGTACGTGTGAGGGTGTGGGTTGTCCCTCAATCCACACCCACCCACGCTCACATCCGTACCACACATTCACATACTCACAATCACACCCGCACCCACCCACGCCCACACACCGACACCATGAGAAGCGCTTTTAATCTTTTTTTGATAATTTCACTATCAATAGAATATATTTATTTGAAAATACTATCTGTGCTCATATATAAGAATTATATGAAGAATAAATCAATTTTCTATTGAATTGCAAATATATTTTTCGAATGAGAATTCTAACGCAACAATAAGTTTAAATTAATTAGAGATACAATAGATTACTCTACCCTATTGCTTGTTGCTATTCATTGTTAAAAATTTCTATTGTTTCCATTCGAGAAAGCATTCAGTACCAAATTGTTTATTCAGAATTGAAGAACTTCGTCGAAAAACAATAATTTCTTTTTTCTTCTTCCTTTCCATGCGTATTGTTATTATGTACGCGATGCGTCTCCAAGGCGTACATGCTTGAAAAAAGAAAAGAAGCGATAAAGCAAATAGAAATGAATTGAATTACGTCGCTTTGTAAAAAAAAAGGTAAGAAAAAGACATTTGAAAAAAATATCAACTGAACCGTACCAGTTGAAAAACGTTCGTCCCAACAACAACAGTAGCACATCAATTGCTTTCAAATTTTCGATCGTGATAAGTTATTAGGAAGAATTTGAAAAATACAATACACATTTTAAGGGTGTGGATGTTCTGGACACCCACACCCACGCATCCACACCCTGAAAGCATCAGAGTTGAGGACTATCTTTTATTTAAGAATCTGAATAATAAAATAAAATCAATATATCATCAACACAGAGGAAGGCGTACTTTTAATTAGAGAATCCCATCTTCATCGTAGTCCTAGGATATTAAAAAACAATTGTAAAAATATTTCATATTTTCAAACGATAGATGTATCACTTATATGATTTTATTTCAATTTCAATGTTTCATCATTCACATACTTATTCATATATAGATTGTAAATATTGAACTACATTATAGTTTTAAGATTAAGAACAGTTCGCTATCATTGAACTTCTTTTTCTTACACTTGACAGTAATTACTATTTGAAAATGTGCATATTTCGATTTTTTGATTTAGTATTGATATTTTTGAACGATTCTGCTTGACTTCTTTCAGTCGCCACTTACATGCTTTAATTTTGTGAAGCTATCAAGAAATAATTTCAGGATACTTCTAAATTGTTAGTTTTGTTGTATCATAAATCTTTTTATTGATTATTCTCACGAGAATGTGAATATTTTTGAAGTACAAATTCAAATCTGTAAGCTAAATTTCTTCTTTTTCTTGTTTTGAGTGAGTGATAAAATCAAATATCGAATCGCGGTGTAAGTTTATTGATTTGATTTTTATCACAATTTAAAATAGATGCAAAATATTTTAACAAAAATAATTCTAGCTTTTTGACAATGAATAGTTGAAAGATCGAGAAGAGACATGATGTCTCGTCGTCTAGTTACAGTCAACATCGATTTTTTTAAAAGAAACTCGTCACTTAAAACCACAGAGAGATAAATTTTATAGAGATAGGAATTTATTTTGCTTTGTCACTCCTCATCGTCTACTCGCTTACTGAATATTTCAATGCTTCTATATGTAGTTCTTTTTAATAGAGTTTATACTTTTAGGCGTTTTGAGACGCATAAAAAAGAAGCACGAGCAAACAGAGAAGATAAATGCTGTCCTATCGTAAAATACATATAAGAAGTCATCAGGGAAAAAATAGACAAACGATGTAGGTAGTAAGAATTTTTTCCAACAATAACAACAACACTTTATTTATTTCGAATTCTGATTCCTGGTGAGTAAAACATTAGGAAGATTGAACCATCTCTCTATTATTACACTAGACACATGAATAGTAGAATGATGAAAGAAAGAAGAAATTAACGACTATTTTATGTGAATTTGTGGTCGAACTTGCGATTTTACTCAATGATGTACAACATTTTCCTTCTTATTCAGTAACTATTTTTTTACGTCAATCAGTCATATTCAAAATGCTAAACAAACGCAAAATTCCATTTCTTTTTCTATGAAAACTAATGGGACATCATAATTCTAGTTTTCATTAACCCAGATTAGGGTGAACTCATTTTGAATCCGATAAACTGCCTGTGTTGAATGAAAACTAAAGTTTCCATATTTCTTTATGAATAGAAAGCTTTAGCTAGCAGTTGTAAATTCTTGTCTGGCCTGTACTAATGTTATACATTACAAAATGTTAGTTCGAAATCAATCCTACTGATGGTGTGGCTATTTCAATGGCATACAATTAAAAAAAACTCTAAATTTACCCTATGTTTATAAGGTTTCGTCACCTAGTAAAGATGAGAACATTTCAGCAATAGAGAAATGTATCCACTATGTCAAGTAACTCCAAAAGACTGATCTCATATAGAAGTCGACGAAAAATGATAAAGAGAAAGTTTTATATGAGTAATCCTGGGTGTCTTTTGATTATAGGTGTGTAGAAACTCTATCACCCAGCACAAGTAAGATTATGAGTTGGTATTGTAAGATTTGTTTCCGGTGGACACGCGATAAATTCTATTTTTTTGGAATTTGTTATGTTTTAACAGACTGTAAATTTGTCAAATAAATTGTTAACCAAAACATATTGAATCAAGCATGATTCATTCTCGATTTATAATTTTATCCTAGATATAACTTTTTTAAATTAAATCGATTAATTAACCACATTTTACACGGTAACCATATGCTTTGAGGGCCAAATCGGTTTATTGGGTAGCCTGAGAGTGTGTGACTTGGTCAACAATTTCAAATATCCGCATCTCTGAAGTACATTGAACTCGTAGACTTGAACATTGGCTTTGTACTTAGAACATGTTAGCTGAATATCATCGTGTGAAGCCGACATAAATTAAGATAGCTTCGACGTAAAATGTACTCTTCCAGTACTGACGCTTGTTTTATTATAAAAATTTAATTACTCAGACTTTTATCGTTTGTTGGATTTTCGTAAAATAGATATAAAAAGTAAAAAAAGAATGAAAGAAAAACATCTATATAGGAAGTAAAAATTCATCAAATGTGTTTTGTTCTTCTATTTTAAATCATAGCCATCTAAATAATTCAATAAATATTATCTGAACTTCATATTACAATGTTTCAAAAGAAAAATACGGACGAGGAGAATTAACTGCACATACAGGGCCCTATCTCTTTCTTTAATACTCATTATATTCGATCTCGTGATGGTTTGAAGGCGATTCGAAAATTTCGATTCGTATTCTAGATTGGGATTATTTCTAATGGCAGCTAAGTTTACATCTGAGTCACGACGTAGGTTAGCGCTTGTGATTGGTATCGGTGATTATCAAAATGTCCGAAAATTGCAAAATCCTCAAAATGATGCGAAAGCATTATCATCTCTCTTGCAACGTATCGGCTTTACTACTGCTGATCAACACTTGGATAAAACACGCAATCAGTTGCAACATGTTCTTGTGGATTTTGAAGACTCAATACAATCTAACGATATAGTCCTGTTTTATTTTGCTGGACATGGGGTACAATGGGAAGTATGTATTTAGAATTTTACTGTTGTAAGTTACTAAGATTTTTTAATGAGCTCTATCTGTATGATTTTAAGGATCAAAATTATTTGTTGCCAAAAGACTTTCCTGACATGGAGGCAGCAGATGAAAAGAAAAAAGTTGAATTTTTAAAAAAGAATGCTATTAATGCACAAGATATTCTTAACATATTAAGTGATAGAAAACCATATGCTATCATTTTTCTTTTGGATTGCTCTAGACAACATTTTTTAAGGAATATTGATCTGAATAAATGTGGTTTAAATGCAAACGAGTCTAGATCAGTTGGACTGACAGCTATGCATAAAGCAGGCTCTTTGGTTGCTTTTGCTTGTGCACCTGGTGCATTAGTCGACGATAGATCAGAAGAACAAAACAGTCTATTTATGAAGCATCTTTTGAAAAATCTTCCAACTCCGAACGAAGACATTGTAAATATATTGCGAAATGTGACTCGTGGAGTGATGCAAGATTCTAATTCAAAACAGATTCCATTTATGAGTGTTCAATTATGTCAAAACAATATATACATGTGTGAGCAAGCAGACGGTAAGAATAATAGCTTTCGATGGAGTGAAACAAAAGTTACTATACGACGTGTTTCATCGACACAATGTATGAACATACAGTGAAAATTCAACTAAGCTACCATAGATCATGCTAGAATTGAACTTAGCTGTATTTTATTATAATATTACACAGCTTCACACTTTACCGAAATAAAATCAATCGGTTCAGCGAAAAAGATCAGAAAGAATTAATGCCACAAAACAGTTCGTGTGATTGCGAGCGAGATTAAATATAAACGTAATACTTGACTCCAAACATATGTATCATTACTCTGTCAAACACTTGAAGCATATTGAAAATATCAAGTAAATCTATCAAGAAATATATATTATTGTTTTGAATTAAAGGTTTTTCAACAGCGACCATTATTGGCAAAACTAATCCAAGAAAAAAGATACGTTTAAACAACTCACCTCAAGTAATTTAAACTACTTATTAGTGTGGTACATTTTTTACATCTGTATTATTTGGTTTTCCAAAGATCGATACACCTACAGCAGCTACTGACACTGCTGGAAACACTGGAATAGGCTCATTTACCAAAAAGGTGAGAAAAAGATCATTTTAGAAAGCAAGTCTTAATCAAATATAACACCTTTTCAGATATCAAACATTAAAAAAAATACTTCTACAAAAAAAAGTAAGGTTTCATTATCATTATTTCGCTGCCTTGAGAATTATTGGAATAATATCACTATCATTGTGCAGACCTGCTATTCTCACAACTAAAACTTTTAGATAATATAATCTCTTATCGAATTATTCTTCTTATTTTCCGATATGTTTGTCTAAGTAAAGTTATAAAATTGTTTGGAATCATATTTTACAACTTATAGACAGTAAGTTCATTTCCCTTGTTCCGATAAATTATCGTACATTTTTTATCTTTACTCATACCACGTAACAGATGATCGATGTAAAAAGTGAAAAGATTCTGTCGTACAGGAACGTTTGCACTCTTATATGATTTCAATTAAAGAAGCAATACAAGCTCAGAATCTGATTGAATATCAAGTGTGAACGAAAAAGGAATCAGGATTTTTCAATTACTCCACCGTCATTCGGTATTAAATAAGTAGTTTAGTTTTATTCACTCTCTACAATAGATTTGAGTAGTTAAGATGCTTTTTCGATCGACTGATCACTATATGTATATTACTTGTTCGAAGTTGATGGCAAACGAAATTCTCCTCACTTTCACTAACTATAGAAACATGTAATTTTTTTTTCATATTGATTAGGAAAAAGATGATTCTAGCTAATAAATTGGGAATGTCTTAAAGGTATATTAATAAAACAAGTTTTACCACCGGTATGAACGAATTTGAAGGGTGTAGTGTCAAAAACTAGGACAGATTATGTGTCTTGATGAAAAAAAATGTTCTTGTGGTATACGCATAACTGCAGATAGCTTTTCCGCGCTGACCACTATCAATCAAGTTCTGTTACGTGTTTAACTTTTAAATTCTGATATCAGTAGCCACTTGTAAACCAATAGTAGGAAACTCTCCTTCTCGATGCACTTAAAAGATAAAAATAAAAGATGAAAATAACTCGTAACTTTCCTATTCGATTAATTTTTTCTATTTGTTAGCTCTCATATATAGATATATAAGGAAGGGAAGGGAAGGAAGAAAGGAAAGAGAGATATATGAAGAGCGAAAGAGATAAAGCAGCGTCACTGATGGTATGTGATAGAACGATGAAAAAGATAATGACCTTCATGGGAATCGAACCCACACCTCCTGCTATCCGGGCAGTTGTCCTAAGCCAATTAGACTAGAAGGCACATCTTGTTCATCGTTGTAGCGTTAGTGTGATTCATCACTAACGCTAACACTATTAATAATTTATAACTTATAGTTCTACACCCATTGTTAAGTTTCACATCTTCCTCGAATTCTGAGAAATTCTACAAGTTCTCATCGCCCAATTAATTCTTTAGTGACATGAATTTCTCTACTTCAAGTAAAAAATTGATGTGCTAATCTGGAAAAGCATTCACAAAGATCTTGATTAGGTATATGTGCCGATATTGATGGCACGCTTAGATGATTCTCCTTCATTCTCTTTCTGTTCTTTTTCCATTGTTCTAATATCTCTCTCCTATATATACTCGTGTTACGTATGAAGTTGTTACACTCTGGAGATGTCAGATGTCAGATGACACAATACACCATCATGCCGACGGGCATAGGCGACACTCTTTAGTTTTGTCGTTACACTCTGGATAACTTGAAGTAGCCTAATAAACATCTTTGCCAAGAGTGGCACAAGCTACTCTAATCTAGTTGTTCGTTATAGTATATAAGTAGCTTTTCCAACTCTTTACAGTAGACAAAGAGTTCATTTAAAAACTGAATTTCTAATGTGCTATCATGAGTCGATGATGTATTCTAGTGATGTTAAGTTTTCAAATATTTTTTTCATTTTTTCTCATAGAGAATTCACTAATACAGTTGTCTTTTTTTTTACTGAAGAATCTACTTAAAAATATGAGTGAAAATAATTCGCGTTATGTTTTCTGGTCTTTGACTGTCTGTAGCAATAATCAAATTCATGAAATAATAGATGATGTGCTATTGATTGGGAAAATAATCATTCGATGATATATGAGAAAGAAAAGAGAATAAAGGGTAAGATCATTGAACTCAAACCGTAGTAAAATAAACAAAACAAAATGATGACATTGGCCGAGAAGCACCGACTCGATTAGTATACTTTACAGTCGCTTGACCTATAATAATAGTAATATAGAGTTAGAAATATTTTTGTTCTTTTGTCATCAATAATAATTTTAGTAGCACCCTGTTTCTTTCAGACTAACTTATATAGCTTCCAAAACAAAAGGAGCTATAGGCACCTATTTCGTTTTTATGTATGGTATTAAACGCATTTCTAATTCTAAAATATATCTTTTCGTATATGCAAAGTTTTGAAACAAGAATACGACTAGATGGTCGTAAAGCTTTTATATTTGTCACTGAGTTAAAATTATATTGAAGTTGCAATAGGAACATAACTTAAATTCACATTATCTATGAGTCTTTTCAAGTTCATCGTTTATCGTATTGAATCATTTGTTCTATGTTACATGACAATAGTTATATCATTGTAGAAAATATTTCCATTCGAACTAGTTTTTTTTCCGTTTTTGTGATCAATCATTTCTTGACAATCTTTACAGAAATATGTCCTTCTACAAATCTAGTGATTTTAAGCATTTAACTTTGAAAAGATTTTATTATCAAAATAGACACAAGAATAAATATGTGATTTACTATCATATATGACATTTCTCATTTTAATCGCTTCACAAATTAATAATGGCATGTTTTCGAAAAATGTAATGATACAAAACATGACTGAATTTTTATTTTTATACACATATAATTGGGTCGAATTTCAATTATCTATATTAGTTATCTGGTTCATTTCTCTGTTTGTTTTTGTGAGATTGTCTGACGATTAATTTGTTTTTGGATGCATGCAGCAGAGAGTGAAAATTGAATTGGATTAAAATTCATCTATTAATAATTAAATCATATATTTTTGAAACTCTTCTTTCATTCGTTGCTGTAAAGAATAAAATGAACGAAATCAACAACTTGATACATTCATAAAACCAGTGATTGACGTTGATGATTGAACTCACAAAATATGTTTAAAATAAAAATTATTTAAAAGACAATAAAAGATAAGATAGGATAGAATCGTTTTTTTTAGTTTCTCAATACTATTCTAAGATGTTCATGTATCAATGAACAATTTCAAAAGTATGCATTCCACAAACTATCAGAGAATAATATACAGTACAGACTGATTCACTTATTTTCTTCAGTTTTGCTGTATTTTTTAGGAAATTTAAAAGTTTTATATAACCTTATTGAAGATTGATTGCGCTCTATACTCTTAAAGTTAAACAAAGTGTTGAATGAAAACTGTTGTACATTGAAGAAGAAAAATAAATTTTATAACTGCTGAAATTTCAGACACGTTTACACTAACTAGATTTTCGATACTATTCACACGATCTCAAATTTATCTATTTAGCTAACTAAAATAGATTAAAATTAGATGAGTCAATACAACAGTAGCTGTTTCTCTATTCAACTACATATTTATGTGGAAATAGTACGATGATTAGGCGACTATAATTGAATTGGCAGGAATTATTATTTGACCTTTCCTCAAAAGTGTGGGGTGTAGGTGTACATTTTTTCTTAACCCACACCCACACCCTATGGCTTCCCTACAGACTTGAGCTTGTGCCTTTCAGGCTCTTTTCAGTATATGTTTCAATAAAAATTGGCGAAATAATAGAACGTGAATTATATGCTTGTTACACTTTTTCAAAATAGCTAGCATTGTTGTAGGAAAAATTCAAAAAGTAAGAAATTTGAAACAAAAAGGCCTTACCTGTTCTAGCTCATTTGATACAAAATTAATCTGAGAAATTATGCATGAATACTATTTATTCATCATTTATCTAGACAAGTTTGAGTAAACGATTTTTTTGTACAACTATATGATATTGAATCACTGTGGGGGTTAAATTGGCCTAGTTATAACTCGAGTTATAATATTCAACCCTAGTTATAATCAGCTAACTAATTCAACTTGATCAAGTCTTTGATTCGTTGTTTCAATAAATTAAGTATCTATAAGACAGATAAGATTAAAATAATTGCACCTTATCGTTCCTTATTATTAAAAATATATCTTGTTTATGTCTTATTTTCGCATGATTTTCGAAGTATTTCTCATTTTGTTTTTTAATCATTGTATTAGTTTGTACAGTTAATTATAAATGGAGTATATTTCACTGAGGACGAACACGAATTTTATCACATTAAATGACTACATGCAGAACTTTAAAATCTTAAACACTTTAATCACATATATGTAGCTAACATATTTTCGAATGAAAGCAAAGATGCACAAAACCAAATTTCGAATACAGTAAATTGGCAGAATATTGAAGTAATCATGATTTCTAAATAAATTTATGACAAACAACTCCAGCTCTAACTTTCCATTAAGCTAGAATCTTGAATCGTAC